TGTAGACACAGCCCATATTTACCGCATTTTAGGGCACTGCAGACAGGGAGTGGTGGGCCTGAGGAGTTAGGGCCACACGACTGGGGCTGTAGCGACAGACTGTGCGCATCAGGATGTTAAGTTCTGACCCCAACAGGAAAACTCCATCATCTTACAGGTGGGTTGAAACCAGGTCTTCCACATAAGGGCCTGACGTATCTCTACTTTTCTTCACACAAATCTAAATGAATACCCAGAAGAAAAAACTAACTTTGGTGCAGTCTGATTCACCAGCATTTCTCACATTAACACTTTCACTGGTACTATAAGAACTGGAACTCTTCGCTTGCTGCTGAAGATGGGGACTGAGCACTTATGGGAGTGTACCGAGTGCTGTGATGGCGATTTTTAATTCAACATTAACGCTTTCACTTATAACTTGGACACTGTTGAAAACTCTTTGGCGCCAGCGAAAATGAATGACAATGGGAGGAAAGGAAAAGATAACAAAACATATACAACAGAAAGTAGTTTAAACAAACCTTACAAAGAAATGTTGAATTTATATTCATACAGAAAAACATTTTTTGTACTTTTTTATTTTAAATGAAGTAAAAATTATGACGATGGTGATGATTATACGTGCTCAGGAGAAACTGATACCATGTCTAGACCTAACGTTTCATCTTCTGTCATTTATCCTCCAGTGAAGCACGGACTTTATAACCTACACTAAGCTTTCATATTTCTTACCATCGGGTGCTGCTAGCTTAATCCATCACCTTTTTCTTCACTTCCTCTTTTATCGCTTTGGGTGTCGAGGGAAAAATAAGGTTCTGCTTCTTGCCTTTTTGGCTGCTTCGACCATAGACACATTGGGCTGTTGTAGAGTTTCTCTGACATCTTTCCATTTTGCTCTTGGTCTACCTAGTGCTCTACATCTTTCTCCTCTTCTTGGTGTATGCCTTGATTGGCATGGCATTTTCTTTGAGCGGGCAAATAATTTGATTTGCTGTTTTTGTATGTAATTTAGATTTGTTTTGTGCTGACTTTTTTCTTCTTTCTCTTTTGGCTTCCTTCCTGCTATATCTCTGCTGGTCACTCCTGCAGCCCTCCTCAGATATCTCATTTACATGGTTACTAATTCTCTTTTCTTGTGTGCTGTCAGTGACCATGTCTGGCACTGCTCAATAGAGTGGGAATGAAGATGATTAGTATAAGATATATTTTGTGTGCTGATCAGCACTGTCAGTTTTCACAGACTGTGCCCTTTCCAACAACAATATCTTTTCATCACCTCTTTGATTGATTCCCCTGAATTTCTGAAAATTTTCTCCCAAAGCTATTGTGTCATACCCTTTAATCCCCTTCTATTCCATGCAAACACCAGTTTGTAGTTTATTAGTAAGTGTTCACATTTACCAAACTACATTTTAATCTTACAAAACACTTCTCCCAAGTTTCTAAAATCCTACTTCAAATCCATTTGAAACCTGGCAAATAACACAAGTAAGGCAAACTGGCACAGGAAATCGATAATATGAAGTGAACATATATTTACATCAATGGAAAATATACAAGCTTAAAATAGAAACAGAAGAAAATTCACTGTGGTTTCACAGCAAAGAAAGTCATTAGTTAAAAAATAAACAATAAAATAAAATAAAAAGGAAATAATAAACATTTTGCACAATTTCTCACAAGTCATATTTTGTCGAGATTTGGGTACAGCAAGATATGTCAGGCAGAAAACTGGGCAATATATTGTGTGTGTCCTCAGCATTCAAATTCACAATGAAAAACCCATTATTTTGAATTAGTTTTCACATTTGTAACACATAAACATAAAATGGAGTGTGGGTTTAGTTTACCACAAATAACTATTAGAGACATTGAGATTAAGAAACCATATCTCTGAAGACATTCAGTTCCCAAATCAATTATGGTTACATAATATATTCAAGCTAGAATTAAACTGACCAATCTCGACTTTGAACCCTCAGGAGTCTCCTGAAATGTAGTTAGGAATTCCATGATAGACAGCAATAAAACCATAAATAATATAATAAATATTACAAATAAAATTCTATACTCCCCAAGTGGTTTTCGGAGCCCTGTTTTGTGTGTGGGAAAATTAGACCGACCCACTGCCCCTGAGAAGGCAAGTCAAAACAGGCCAACTAATTAGGAGTCCGAAGAAATCAAATGTTAGGCAGAAAGATGCAGATATCATAGCTTAGCTGTAAACCACATCACAATGTGCCAACCCCCTTTTTTTTAAAGGGTTAACATGGAGGAGGAACTTTCTATAGAGAACTGTGTCGATCATTAATTGATAACTCAGACTGGCCTAAGCACAGACAGAAATGGTACTCTGCTCAGTCCTTGAATGTCACTTAACATGACAAGAAGCTACAAATTACTAAACACCCCCCCCCCCCCCCCCATGCATGGTCCATGAGTTGTACATATATCATGCATTAAGGGACTCCTTGTCACAGGCATATTCGGCCTAGGATTTCGTTAAAAGTTAAAGGATTAGAAAGGCTGTATTAGATGCACAGTTCATACCTCTATAATCCAAAGGATGAGAAAGGCTGTATTAGATGCACAGTTCATACCTCTATAATCCAAAGGATGAGAAAGGCTGTATTAGATGCACAGTTCCTACCTCTAGATTCCAAAGAATGAGAAAGGCTGTATTAGATGCACAGTTCATACCTCTATAATCCAAAGGATGAGCTTGTATTAGATGCACAGTTCATACCTCTATAATCCAAAGGATGAGAAAGGCTGTATTAGATGCACAGTTCCTACCTCTAGATTCCAAAGAATTAGAAAGGCTGTATTAGATGCACAGTTCATACCTCTATAATCCAAAGAATGAGAAAGGCTGTATTAGATGCACAGTTCATACCTCTATAATCCAAAGAATGAGAAAGGCTGTATTAGATGCACAGTTCGTACCTCTATAATCCAAAGAATGAGAAAGGCTGTATTAGATGCACAGTTCCTACCTTTAGATTCCAAAGAATGAGAAAGGCTGTATTAGATGCACAGTTCCTACCTTTAGATTCCAAAGGATGAGAAAGGCTGTATTAGATGCACAGTTCCTACCTTTAGATTCCAAAGGATGAGAAAGGCTGTATTAGATGCACAGTTCCTACCTCTAGATTCCAAAGGATGAGAAAGGCTGTATTAGATGCACAGTTCGTACCTCTACAATCCAAAGAATGAGAAAGGCTGTATTAGATGCACAGTTCGTACCTCTAGATTCCAAAGGATGAGAAAGGCTGTATTAGATGCACAGTTCGTACCTCTATAATCCAAAGAATGAGAAAGGCTGTATTAGATGCACAGTTCGTACCTCTATAATCCAAAGAATGAGAAAGGCTGTATTAGATGCACAGTTCATACCTCCAGAGTCCAAAGGATGAGAAAGGCTGTATTTAAACGCACAGTTCATACCTCTAGAATCTAAAGATTGAGAAAGGCTGTTTCTGAGACACCTCTACCCCTACAATACCAAGGGCATGTGTAACAGCTGAGGTTAACCTCTTAGTTAAGGATTCAGAAAACAGTTCGGAGAGTCAACTGAAAGCAGCTGCATCATCTATTATACATCACACAGGGTTCGACAGTTAATCACTCCATCTTGTTTATCCTGTTTAGGCACCACTTCACTGCCTCCCATTTCAGAGCACATTTAAACAGAAGAAACAGACATTTAAAAGAAAGAAAAGGCACACTAAAGCTTGCTTTTCAGCCCCCAAAAAATAATAGACATAAACAAAACCCTCCCAAAAGAACAGAGACAGTTCAAGCGACATAACTATAGCAAACAAACATCTGAAACAATACAGAGTTGACAAGTGAATAATAAAACATTTCAAGTCCCCATTTTTCTTGCACAATGTAAGACTGCACAAAATGAAAGCCAGATGCACAAAATGCTCACAGATTCCATCATAACATACAAATCTCCACGAACAACAGAGCAGAGAGAATATCACACTCTGGCCCAATTATCAAGCAGAAAAAAAAAAAAATATACTAATGCTGTTATAATGGAACGACTTTTCTACATTCTTTCCAGGCTTCGCACAAATGAAATGGCAAAGCTGATGATTCAAACAGACGCGAAAATGTGGGCGAAATGTCACAACTTAAACTGAACTGAAGTCGGGTCACATTGTCAGTGAGGAAACTTTCAGATACTAGCAGCCGGATATTGGGAAAAAAAACTCAATGTATGACTGATCTTGTCTGATGGTCTTTTGTGTTCTTGAACAAAATATGGACTTAATTCACATCAGAAATTAACAACACTGTAAGAACGATCATATCCGATGACCCTGGAAAAATGTGCTGTTGTGTTAAACAAAATTACCTCAGAAATGAACTCAATTCACATCAGAAATGAACAACTCAATGTATGATCGATCTTATCCAATGACTTTGGAAATAGGTGCTGTTGTATTCTTGAATAAATTTACCTGAAATGAACACCTTTTCACAGCAGAAATGAACTCAATGTATGACTGATCCTGCTGTCCGGTGACTATGGAAATAGATATTGTTGTGTTCTTGAACATAATATTTACCACACAAATGTACTACTCAATGAATCTCAGAAAGGAACATATCCTTTCATGATTCACTGTGTTGCCTATGACCATGGAAACAGGTACTGTTGTGTTCTTAAATTTACTTCAGAAATTAACAACTTACTTCACCTGAGAAATGAGCAACTCAACGTATGACTGATCCTGTTGCCGATGACCACAGAAACAAAGTACTGTTGCATTCTTGAACAAATTTACCTCGGAAATGAACAATTCAATTCACATCAGAAAGCAACAACTTAGTATGTGATTGATCTTGATTGCACTCCTGTTGTTGTCTGTTGATGTGTTCTTGTTAATTTGTCTGCTGCTGGGGTTGGCCGACTCTGGTCTTGGTGTGGCCGCTAATGTCTGTCTGGCTGTTACAATGTTTTTGTTTATCTAGCACTGCTTGTCTTAAGACTGTCCTGGAGCATCCTGTCAACAAATAAACAAACAAACAATTATTTTACAATCCAATTTGTTGTCACCACATGATATATACAATGATACAGTAAATCTTGTTAACAGGAACTCGCTTAAGATCAACAAAATGTTTGTCCCAACAATGATGTATTTTTTATAACACATCTATTTGTCCTCAGTTACCACAAACCTTTCAACACAAACTCTTGATTTTCTCAGTCCCTTGGAATGCATGTTATCAAAATGTTACTTTATTTGTGTCTAGTTATTAGTGATTACTCAACAATTGTTTGGACATGTGAAAACTATTATCATCTTACTTCAATTTCACTAGAAATGATAGGTTGGGGTGGGGAAGGTGGAAAGAGAGAGGAGAGTAAGAGGGAGAGAGAGGAGAGCGAAGTGTGCAAAAAGAGAGAGGACAGTTTTTAAAAAAAAAGAGCGAGCGAGAAGAGAGAGACAGTAAAAGAGTAAAAGACCATAGAGTAAGCGAGCGAGAGAGGGTAGATAGTGTATAAGAGACAGCAGTGTAAGAGAGTAAAAGAGGATAGTGAATGTGTAAGAGAGGACAGATTAAGAGAGAGAGAGAGAGAGAGAGAGAGAGAGAGAGAGAGAGAGAGAGAGAGAGAGAAAGAGAGGGGGAGAGAGAGGAGAGGGAGAGGAGGGGGGGGAGAGGGAGAGAGAGGGGGGAGAGAGAGGAGAGAGGGGGGAGAGAGGAGAGGGGGGAGAGAGAGAGGGGAGGAGAGAGAGAGAGAGAGAGAGAGAGAGAGAGAGAGAGAGAGAGAGAGAGAGAGAGAGAGAGAGAGAGAGAGAGAGAGAGAGAGCTTCTTAGCTCTCAGGCAGATGTACTCTGGCTTTGAAGGAAACATCCCTTATTAGTTTCCTATTACAGTATGCTTGTTAGGGCTGCAATAGATCTATCCCCTCATAGTGCCTGGAACCGACGCCAGGATTTTTTTTTTTTTAATTAGTACTGTAAAAATTAAATGGACAATTTACAAACCACTTCTTCCTTTTCTGCATTTCCCCTTTAAAGGATGGCTGTCACAGAGTTTTGTGGTTTACAGCTAAGCGGTGACATTTGCACATTTCAGTCTCACACATCTGATTTAAGCAAATCCTTAAATGTCACCTTACAAGACAAGCATGCTAAGCAGCAGTGGGTCTATTCTTTTTTTCTTCTCCCCAAAAAAATGGCCCAAGAACCCACACGGGTAATTCCCAAACAAAACAGTCCAAAAACAAAAGTTAAACCTACATCGTCTCGAAAATCTGACAGCTTCTTGTAATGAGACAGCTTTTCTTGCAATTCTGGGTGGACGTCGACCTGGCGCCTGGAGTACTTCAGGAAGGCCCAGAACTTTTCAAGACCGTACAGCTGACCTGTAGAAGCATAGTTTACATGTCAAACACAAAAGCAAATTTTAAAAAAAGTTGTAAGAAATAGTAACATTCTAACTTTCAGTAAAACACACTCCAGTAAGACATTCTAAATTTTTGTCAAACATATTTCAGTCAGACATTCTAAATTTTTGTCAAACATATTTCAGTCAGACATTCTAAATTTTTGTCAAACATATTTCAGTCAGACATTCTAAATTTTTGTCAAACATATTTCAGTCAGACATTCTAAATTCCAGCAAGACATTCTAAATTTCAGTAAAAACATTTCCAGTGAGACGCTCTAAATTTCAGTAAAACAAATTCTTGAGAGAGATGCTAAATTTCAGTTAAAAAAACGTCAGCGAGAGATTCTAAATTCCAGTGAGACATTGTAAACATCAGTGCACCAGCGCCCGCTGCTGTCTTTGGGAACATTACGTGATGAGGTCCCAACATCTTCCAGTGTGATTTTCAGAGCATTGAGTAAAGAGATAAGAATGGTCTTTTTCTAAATAGTTAGTTTGTCAGTCTTTCCTCTTGAGCTTAAGGTGACGCATAGGGCAGAGGTCATAGCTCTCCACATCTGGCAGTTTGTTGCTATCTGTTTTTGGTCTTGTATATTTATTAGACCCAAGGTTGATCCTTCCCTGATGATGGTTCTACACAGGGTCTCTCCTGGTCTTCCTCATATTCTTGTCCATTCCAGTGCCTATGTGAGGGCTTGATGGGGAAGTCTGGTCTTATCCATTCTGGGTTCTAAACAGCAGTTCCATGGAAATGGAACTCTTGCAGGTTGAAGACTGGACTGTGAAAAGATCTCATTAACTCTATGTCAAAGAGCCACTGAAAATGTAGATAGCATCTGATGTATCAAATCCAATTATAAAATTAAAAATTTTAGTTAATTAGATATCTGCTCTCAATTAAAGATTAGAAAATCTGACATACATAAATACAGCATTTATTTCTGATAAAATGCTGCAATAACAACCATTTGATTCACGTCAGGTTTTTATTACCGACATGACCTTTTAATTCCGGTGCCACACCGTCACAGTCAGCGCCTGGATGTCGTAACGGCCACATGACTGGGCAGGGAAATTTTGACGGACCAAATGGAAATTCTACCTGGAAATTTCCACAGACCAACAGACTACCAGTCAAAAGAACACTGCTATAGAATACAACTTGACGTACAAAGCAATGACTTCCATAACAGAAAGAAACTCAATACTTTAATGCCCCCATTGTGGGGAAAACAGGAATAGACCCACTGCCTCCCCAAAAGCATGTCGTAAGAGTCGACTAATTAGGGAGCTTCCTTTGAAGTCGGAGTGCATCTGCCGGAGAGGCAAGGAACCAACAGTCTGTATTCAAGAGAATGAGATCTGTAAAACTGATGCACACGCAACACTCAGGTTCTGGAGTAGGACTGCTTTTCAAAAGTGGACGATCAACCAGAACTTTCCACCAGAGTGTACAGCTGGTGAACGCAAAGAAGAAGAAGAAGAAGAAGAAGAAGAAGAATACTTTAACGGAATTTGTCACTCACCGGTTGCACAATCTCTCATGGTCTCCTCCTGGAAATCCTGGAAGACTTCTAATCGAAACCTCTTTTCTAAGCCGTAGCTGTAGTACCGAAACAGACACTCAAGACCATATCTGTGGAGAAAACAGATATTATACATCATATTTACTGTCTTGTTGTGCCATTAACTGTCACATAGGGCTCACAGTCTTCCTCAATCCCATTCTATAACATGTAATCACCACAATATCATGGATGAAATCCAATCCAGCACCTTTGGCCTCTCTCATCAATGTCCGTTGTATGGTTTCTTTTTGACCCTTTGCTCAACCTTTATTTCCCATTTCTGTGCCTGTCTGTTGATTATCTGCTCGTTTTGTGGCAGGATGTGTCCACCTTCTTTGTCTGTTGTTACCAGTGGTTGCCCAGATATTTCTCTCATCAGATATTACATACAAAAAAATCATCAGCAACCCTCCATCTTGTCCTGCTGTTATGTTTAAAAAAAAAAAAAAAGCTCACAGTTTATTTTTTACCTGGTGGGTCTCCCAAATGTCCAACCTGGCCGCTCGACTGCCCAACAGATGTTACGTCAGTAACCCAGGCTGAACAGGGAAACTCGCTGGCATGAGTTTTCAAATAATTTTGTTTGGATGGCTCTTGCTGACTGGGTGTCGCCCGGGACTTGGTCTGTGACTGGCCATTGAGTTAACTGTATGTGTCGATTCCTCCCCACCAAATATATGGTTGACACATCCCGTTTCTGGGAACAGCTTTTATCGAGTTTGCTCTCTAGACAGTTGCAGTCCCCTGCTGACGAGATTCTGTCTTCCCGAGTAGACCGCCGCGATCAAAACATTGCAAAGGCAGCGTGGTCGAGGCTGCCAAAACTATCGGTCATTATCCCGCCCCGACACAGCACAACCACAATACACGCTGTTCCCGCGAAAAACACATAATATCCTGTGTTGGAAATGCGCATAAAATAGCAGTCCATGATTATGAAACAGAACAATCCGAGAGAATTGACAGCCAGCGAAAATAAACACAGCTGCTGTCCGCCATTTTGAAAAACCGGTCTGTGACTGATCCTGGTCCCTCTAGCCAGACCAGTGCAGCAGAGCTACACTTTGATCTTAGCCCAGAACAGTTGTCCCAGAACAGTTATCCCAGAACAGTTGTCCCAGAACAGTTGTTGTCCCAGAACAGTTGTCCCAGAACAGTTGATTCCTCCGTTTAATTTAATACTATGTACCTGCTTCAATATCGCGGATGGAATTTAGATAATAACTTTTGACCTCTCTCATCGCGGTTCATCTTAGGATTTCTTTTGGGCGTCATCTCCTCAGTCCATTTGTTTGCCAGGTGAGACCCAGACTGGTGATTCTCTGTTTGCTTCTCCTCCTCATAATATGCTTCACATACTGCCATCTTTCTGGTCTTGTATCAGTTAACACCGACAGTTGTTGAGCTATTTCTCTTATCTGTTCACCATTCTCAAGTTTAATTCCCTTTAATGTTCATTAATTTTTTTTTCAGACAAAAATAATAATATGCAAAACAATCTATGACAGATTTTCATTAACTTTAATTAATTGGGGGAGGAGAGGGCTGCTGCATAAAGCAGTATAGCTAGACGCCTTACTACCTGCCTGAAGGTCTTGGTTTTATTTTATAATTAACCTTCTCTCACTGGTCGACTCAGTCTAAAACAAGTGTCGGGGAATATTCTAGTGAAGTAAAGGTAGCTGCCACAATTTGGCTACTACATCACATGAGTGCCGACTGGTTTATAAAAACATATGGATCCAGAATCATTTGCCCGATGTGTTTCGTATGAAAAGAGCCCTTTAATTTACTTACTTACTCGATTGACTTAAATATTAACTGCTCCATTTGAATCTATATGAAGCTTCTCTCTTGCATGCTATATAGAGGCAACTGTAACATTTGACTGTGAATCCTCGACAATTAATAAATAACCCATACAATTTCTTTAGGCCTGGGAAATGGTTTTACAGCAGAAGGAACAAGCAAGCCAGATGTTCTGAAAAAAGTGAGGGCTTAAAGACAAAACATGAGAAAGAGACAGTCTTCAATACTGTGGTCATATTATGAAAAGGAAAAATCAGAACATGAGACCAGTGGAAAGATCTGTGGAGAAAGAGACAGATGAAGACAACATGAGAAGGTTCTTGACAACCTTTTGTCATGTCACGGAGGGGTGTTGCACTTAAACTGGTACATGCTACTAAAGATAGCAGACTACACAGCGGCATGACTGCCCATGCCACATGGTAAGGCACTTGATGATGATGGCAGTATCCAGGTGACGGCAATAGACTGGGCACATCCTGAAGAGAATCACCAAACAGGCACTAAAATAGGAAACAAATAGACTGAGGAGACGACAAGTTAAAATAAAAAAGTAAAGGACCCTTTTCCGCGCCTTTCAGGCATATTGGGTTATGTAGCAGAGCTCTCTTCTTTGTTGCGTATGTTGATGTCACACCCAGGTTCGTCTTTAGGTTTGCTACAGGAGGAGTCGATTAGAAGATTATAGACAAGGAGAAAGATGGTCGTGTCGATAGGGGTTATGATGATGATGTCTCGCTAGCTGCATGCTTCTCACGTGACTCTGATGCTTGTATAATAAAATGGCTGGAAAAAACCGTTCTTGTCTATACTGTCTTTATTGTGATACTTCAACAATGTCACAAATACATAAATGATATTCTGAATAGCGCTGTGTTCTCTCTATGGCTAAATACTCGTAGGTTCGCATTGTGTTCTTCATCTCTAGTCACTTTGTTAACTGATTATAGTGTCTCTAACTGCCACCTGGCTTCTAGTGTTGTTTGGTACTAACGTCTTGAGCGTTGACTCTAACATCTCTATAGTGTTCCTAATATGTCTGTTCTCCATGGATCCATGTATCTTGTGTGTCATCTCAGTAGCTCGATGTCTCGCTTCATGTCTGCTCTCCAGTGACCGTCTTCGAGGTTCAATATGAATGGCTGCTCTCCTTCCAGTGTTGAGCTGGCATCAAGGATCATTGAGACTAGTCGCTCGTCATCTGAGTCTCAACGACTGAAGGCTTCTAGTGTTGGGCTAACATCTCTACCACTGAAGGCTGTCTTGAGAGTCCATGTGACTGGCCTCTCCTCTCTTGAGTCTTGTGGACTAAGAATTGCTAAAGTGCTTTGTTACTCGCTATTTATACTTGGATGGTGGAATGCTAGGTATTTGTTTTCTTCTCGCTTTGTCTGCTTCTAGAATATTCTAGTACATCTCAACTTGTTTACTAGGTAGGTTCTCACGTGGGATTTGCTAACTATATCTCGATTGCATCAGATTTCATCATCCTATTCTACGCAGATATAGTAGTTAAACTGACAATTGAGGTCTCATAGAAGCTTCTAAAAAAACAAGGACAATTGTGTTTGCTTTGATAGGGCATGACAACAAGGTATTTACTAGGAAGACAAGGTTGGGTCACATGATGAAAAAAAATGCATTTCAAAACTTCTAGAAAGAAGGCCAAGGCCAGACAACATCAGTTTGATGTCAACAGCTAGTTTTGGCGGGAAAAGAAGATTCTGGGAAAGGGAATGTCAAGGTTACCAAAACTTGTTGATCTCCTAATATTCTAGCTTTATGCCTCCTAACAAACAAGCTATGAGCTCACTCTGTTACAGTTAGACCTATATTTTATAGACCAAACGGCACTTGGAGGGTGATGTGATCAGCATCACGCCGGCCGGCTTTTCTTCTAAGGACTGCACCTGGTACCCACTCAATGCCCGGTCGAGCTGGGAGCCAAGGTCATTTTTTTAAACGAGTCCGGCCCCTATCAGGAACCAAACCCACGACCTTCTGATCCACAGGCGAGCGTCTGGCTGCTGGACCACAGCGGCTCCCAGAGAAACGAAAAGGCCCAATAGAAACCCCAAGAGGAACACTGATGAGAGAGGTTTAAGGTTCTGATCTCAATTCCTACCATGAGTTTGAAACAATGGCACAGAATATAACATAACTGAAGAATAACATTATGGCCCCTACGTGACATACAACGGCACAGGATGATGATGATAATACTATCTGCTGATTATCTTTACCGATTTAACATGATACTTCCCTTCCTAGGGCACGGCACAAAACACATTTACTCCAAATTAGCATCTTCCATAACTCACCTGTGACCTTTGGAGGCATCCTCAATAGCTAATGTTTTGAATTCAGTGTACATCTTGCGATTAAAATGCTGGCGTAGGAAGAATGACCAGAAGCGGAATAAACAGTTCATTTCCTGAGACAGACCCACGCCAAGACGTTTGCGTTCTGGAAAACAGACAGACATGATACACATTTTATGAAATTTCAATGACAGCGGATCGAGTCATTGCAAAATTCTCTTCTATGAATAACCTTGATATAATTGTAAACATATAGGTCTGGCCCTATATGTTCAATAAGCCTGAAGGCATGGCATGGGGTCCTTTGTTAGGAAACTTTCTGCTTCCTACGGCCCATGAAGTGTAGGATTGGCACTTATGTCTGTAGAGTTGGCTATAAATTTTTTTTTTTTTTTTAAATCCAAGGGGGTACAAACCATTTGCCTCACACTCCAAAGGTCATGGGTTCCTTTCATAGGCACACTATACAATCCAGGAGTGCACTTTCTACAGAGATCCTAGGGGGATCATCACTGGAGCTATGGAGTTTGTGTTTTGTGTGATACTTTCGGCAGGTGGCTAGCTTTTCTGCGGAGAGATCGAGACATATGGAATAACTAGGGGCTATGAAATCCTCATGAATTTAACCTTTTTACTGTATCACACTTGTTTACACATATCACCCATCTTGTGCCGATTGGTCTATAAAAATATAGTTTTAGCCCAATATCCCTAAGGCGTGGAAAAAGGTCCTTTACTTTTTTTTTCCTTGCCCACAGCCTTCTGTTTCCTGTGCTGGCATTCATTTCTGATGTCCCAGTGTGGGTTCTGGGGCCCCATTGTGGGGGGGAAATAAGAATAGACCCACTGCCTCAACAACAAGATTGTCATAGTAGTCGACTGATTGGGGGGACATCCTTCGAAGTCGGACTACATCTGCCTGAGCCGCAAGGAACAACCAACTGCACACAACTAAGCCAGTAAAATGGATGTAGACACAAACCTCAGGTCTTGTCTTGTCTTGTCCACAATTGCCTCACAGCATAGTGGGGAGTCACAGTTTTCTATCCTGGGCCAGGTGTGTTGCACGTGTTGTTGTTAGTCCGTGTTGCCTCAGGATCTCTGATATATTGTCTATCCATCGTACTCTCGGTCTGCCTCTTGCTCTAGGGCAGTAGTGCTGTTCGTTGTATGCTCGTAGAGGCAGTTGGTCGGTTTGCATTCGCATCAAGTGGCCAAACCACTCTATTTGTTGCTTCTTTATGTATTGCAGGCATGGTGTGGTTCCTACAATTGCTCTAATGTTCTCGTTTCGAACTCTGTCTCTCCTTGTGACATTGGCAGCCTTACGTAAGCATCTCATTTCGCACGTCGTGATCTTTTCAGGTCCTGGCCAAAACTCAGGCCAAAGTCCAAATGGGCGAAAAAAACCAGACTTTCTGCCGCAGCTTACAGCCGGTGGCCACAGAAGGAGATTTATGATGTAAATGTTCTTTTATGACACAACGTCAAGCTAACATCCTTTCTCCTGATCTCTCTCTGCCTCTACTCCCCACCTTGATCAACCAATCTTGTTAAAATTCTCAGGATGTGACAACAATCAATGAAAAAAAAAAAACACACATATAGAGATATGAACCATAAACTACAATACTGCAAGTTGAATCTGCTCACCTTTAAGGCACTTGGAATGAAATTTATTGTAAACATGCCAAACAAATCCATTCTCTTTTAGCAGCTCGTGCGAGGGGTGTTCAAAGTGAGGCATCGACACTGGCGTAGAGCCGTAGCTGGAGCCCAGGTAGCTGTCCGACGGGCTGTGGACACCATAGGTAAAACTGCATTGTTGTACAACAGCTTGCATGAGATTTATCTCTGACAGGTTAACTCTTTCAGTACCAGGTAGATTCGGTTTAACTCAACACTTTTTTTTTTTTAAAACAACCGTGGACCACACACAAACGCACGCACGCATGCAGGCACGCACACATGCTCTCTCTTATAACTGATCTGGCTTCTTCCCCTCTTTCTCATAACCGACCTGCCATCTCTCACACAGAAATGCGTTCTACTCCTCTCTCTTACAACTGACCTGGCAACTCTGACACATAAATACATGTTTCTCCTCTCTCTTACAACTGACCTACCATCTCTTACAAAGAAATACATTCTCCTGCATTCTCTTATAACTGACCTGATATCCCTTACACATAAATACATGTTTCTCCTCTCTCTCTTATAATTGACCTGACATCCCTTACACAAAAATACATGTTTCTCCTCTCTCTTATAACTGAAATCCCTTACACATAAATACATGTTTCTCTTCTCTCTCTTATAATTGACCTGACAACCCTTACACAAAAATACATGTTTCTCCTCTCTCTCTTATAACTGACCTACCATCTCTTACAAAGAAATACATTCTCCTGCATTCTCTTTTAACTGACATGTCATCCCTTACACATAAATACATTCTTCTTCTTCTTCTGCGTTCGATATCAGTCATGCTAAACATTGAGTCCCGTCTGGGTCACAAATAGGATTGTGCGTTTAAGGTCGCCACCGGTCCCCCATAGCTTCTCTTGCAATGTGGCTCCTTTGGGCCAGATCCACAGTCTTTGCTGGAAGAGGTTAGGGCAGTACTGCAGTATGTGTTCAGGGGTTTGTCTTTCTGCTCCACAATCACAGGCAGCAGATTCTTTTATGCCTATCCTGTACAAGTGTGCTCGAAGACCACAGTGTCCAGTCCGAAGTCTAAGAATTGATGTTTGTTCTTTCCTGTTGAGTTTGTTTATGCTGTCACTCTCTGGTCTGTAATCTCCATTCTGCCTTCTCCACTCCCGCTTGAAAGACTGCTTTAGCGCTGTTTTGGTTTCCTTGTAGCTGTGTGGTGGATGAGGTTGTGGAAGATTACTCCCAGCTTTTGCCAACTCATCTGCTCTCTCATTTCCTTGAATACCACAGTGGGCTGGTATCCACTGCAAGACCAGTTCTGCTTCCTTGGAGAGTAAGCCAATGTTGGTCCTTAGATCAGCAATTATTTTGTCTTGTTTTTTGCTGGATAGTGCTTGGAGAACAGACAATGAGTCGCTAAGTATAACAATTTGGTGCCCTCTGTGTTCTTGAGTGATGAGATGTTGGACTGCAGAGAGGAGAGCAGTTGCCTCAGCTCTGAAGTTAGTGCAGATGTCACCTGCTGGTTAGAGAGAGAGTTTCTGCTCTACTGCTAGGGGGTTTAATGTAAATTCCACAACCCCCCTTTTCTGACTGCATCTGTAGCAGAGCCGTCGGTGAAAACCTGAGTCCAGTGGTGTTTGGATACTTCTCATCAAGCATAGCAAGAGCCAGGGTTCTCTGATGTGTCTCCGTCTGGGCATCTTTTGAAGTGATTCCTGGTACCTTTAGGACTACATTTGCTTTCTCTGGCTTGCTTGTCCATGGTTCTGGCCTAAGTTTTTCGCACAGTGCAACTTCTCTTTCAAGCAGATCTTGGTGCTGTCTATACAGTTCTCTAGCAAGGTGGTTGGGGCTCTGACGCTTCAGTCTGTTTTTTTTCTCTCTCTTGAAAATTTAAAATGCAGTGGGTGACTTTGAAGTCTTTTTAATTTCTCATACTGTAAAAGAGTTTTGTATCGTCTTCTGAGTTCGAGTGGTTCAGTATCTGCTATCTTTTCTATTTCTCTGATGGGGGTGGTTTTCATAGCTCCGAGAACAATCCTTAATCCCATATTCTGAACCTTGTCCAGTTTTCCCATTGTTGTCTTGGCTGCTGCAGCCCATGCAGTGGAGGCATATTCCATGACTGGCCTGACTGCTCCAGTATATACTTGTTTTAGGACATAAATACATGTTTCTCCTCTCTCTCTTACAACTGACCTGCCATCTCTTACAAAGAAATACATTCTCCTGCATTCTCTTATAACTGACCTGACATCCCTTACACATAAATACATGTTTCTCCTCTCTCTCTTATAACTGACCTGACATCCCTTTCACATAAATACATGTTTCTCCTCTCTCTTACAACTGACCTACCATCTCTTACGCAGAAATACATTCTTTTCCACTCTCTTATAACTTACCTGGCTGATGGCAAAGCAAGCGATGAAGAATTATGTCTTGAGCGGGCTCGGTGCTCTTTCCTGTCCATCACCCACCCGACATGGGACTCCAAGGGTGGGTTACTGCTGTGCCTAGTCTTCTTTTTCCGTGGTGTCTAGAAGGACAGACAATATGGAGGAAAACGTAAAGGACATACTGAAAGTTACACAACACTTTTATCACAAACTACAATTAAAGACAGCAGCTGTGGTGCCGATGTGGCTAGAAGCTCGACTGCCAGCCCAAAGGTTTGAGGTTCAAATAAACAGAGGAAAAAAAAACTGACTTTGACACAGCTTAAAATGGGTAGAAATGAATCAGATTAAATAATGTAGATACAAAAGTCAGATGAATAAGTTATATATATATATATATATATTTTTAAAAAAGACAAGACATTAAAGTGAACAAAAACAAAACTAAAGAAAACTGTCACTACTTGTCTGTTTTACCACTTTTTAGGGCAGGGCAGAGTAGACGAGGGGGAGGGGGGCACCTTGAGCCTGAGAATTTAGGGCCGCCTGGCGAGGACTGTCACCCTGGACTGTGCAGGTTGGGATGTTTAATTTTCACCCCCGACAGAAAAATTCCAGCACCTCACCGGGCCTTGAACCCCCAAATCCTTGGGCTCATGATCCCCTGTCTACAGTGCCCTAAAAAGTGGTAAATACAGACAGCAGTGACAGTGACGTGAAAAAACAAACTGTCAAGATTTAAAATTTAAAAAAAAAAAAAAAAACAAACCACTAAGATCTATAAAACCTTCAGAAAAAACAAGATACCCAGATGAACAAAACAAGACAAGACAGATAACCAAATTGGACATGACAGATCAATAAAACAGATGAACAAATCAGACTAGACACTCAGATGAACTACATTCTGTGTGGGTTTTGGGACCCCGTTTAGAGGGGTGGAGGGGTAGAATAACCTCACTGCCTCCCTAACAAGCATGCTATTAAAATTGGCTAATTAGAGGTGTGTCCCTCAAAGTCCTGGTGCATTGTCCAGAGAGGTGAGGAACCGTCTGCTCACAAATAAGCCAGACCTGTAGACAAGGAGGAACAAGCAAAACTCAAATTCTTAAACAAGAATGGAGTCCAGAAGTGGGACCAGTGCCCAGAACTTTCCGCAGGAGTATCCAGCCGATGAACGAGAAGATGATGATGATGATGAACTACGTTCAGACAATGAACAAATAAGACATACTTGAGGATCCTTGGGTGCGCCGGGCTCTTTTGTAACTGGGTAAAAGCGAGGCTCCTTGCGGTCATGCCTGGGTGTCCTCGGACCCTGTTCTCGTCTGCCTGGAGTGTCAGGAACCCACGCAGGCAGTGACCGGGCAATATCAGCATGTCCGGCTTGGGATGATGGTGGAGTTGGCACCTTCTTGCTTTCGGTAATACTTGCTAGGAAAGAAATACAACACACAAAGATCATTATTACTATCATGACCAATGCCATTTAGTGGCAAACTGTGTAGGTTTTTATGGCTCCCAGAACTGTCGCCGTAATTTATTTTATAAGAATGCATGCACTGCTATCGTTTCATGCTGATTCATCTTCTTTATCAATTGTCCTATTTATGTGAACACACTGCGATGTCTGTGGTTTTCAGCTGACACATCCAACTACTTCAGGGGCATTTGTTTTCCAGCTTCGTCTTAGAAGTTAGTTTTGTAAGACATTTGTAGCCTCGTTTGTGTGGTGACTGACTTGATCGCTTGATCCACAGGTGTTGCCCCTTAAGGTCCATCCATGGCAGGTGCATGCAGATTAGTCCACCCTCAAGGAAGGCAGGAGCAGATAATGAGCATTCCCCACCGTCCAAGAAGGCTTCCATAAATGCTGAGTCGATACAAGGCACCCGGGGACTGGGATCACCCAAGGAATATCACATCCTGCACATTATTACTTATTCACACATCCATATATTCAGCTTTCCACTTATTGCGAGCTGCATCTTTTAGGGATCCCCAGGAAGTAGGCTGCAGACATGAGACCCCGATTTCCTGAACAGAAGCATCTCAATTCCTTACTATGTCAGGTTTCTCTCTTTGACAAGGGCACCTTTCATGTGGATGGCACTGGGCACTTTTTTTGCAGTATTTATGGAAAGCATGCATCAGGCATGGCTTTCCTAAACGGTCATTACACTATGAGGAGTGTAGCCATTGGAACATATTGTGTCATGACAGCAAAATCTCTGACCGAGGAACATCTGAACCTATTCTGTCATATAGCAGGACACTATATGGACTTAAGCAGCCATAAAGTAGGAGTCTAGTCCAACATATGCCGGAACCAAGTTATATAGTAAGACTTTCAGACGAGATATTTGAATCTGAGTGTCAATTAGCAGGGTACTCAGCTAGCAGACGTCATTCTCATTCCACACGAGTTTCCATGTAAATTATCACCCATGCACAGAGGGCTAGCTGATGAGTGCTAGAGGATTTCTAGGCACTGCATTTCTGGGAGCTACAAATTTCAGTTAGGATTTTTGCTGTGCCCTCAACAAATGAGCTTGTCCCCCCTGATCATCATCACTGTCCTATTGCGCGATCATAAAGGATCACTGTGTCTTATAATTGTTGATACTAGTGGTTGCCGAGACGCCTCTCATTTCTTCACTTATAATGAATTCATCTCATGTTCATTATTTTCCCCAGGGATTTGTTTTCAAATGCATTCAACCTGCATTCCTTGTCTTTAGTTGTTTTCCAACTTTGACTGGTGCATGCTAAAACTGAAATAACATTAGAATTAAAAATATGTAACTTGGTTCTGTGGCTAAGTCGATGCGAACGCTTCGTAATGCCGGGGTATCGGGTTCGATCCCAGCTGCGGGCCATACGCCTTGTGTTGGTTTTGACAGTGGTATCAGAGAGCCAACCGTCCAGAAAGCAATGGCAAACTACTGGACGTAAATCTGCCTAGAGAAACCACACAACAGCCAGGGGCTGCTGGGGTTGGTTCTGCAACGTCCTGTAAAGGTTACGCAACTAACCTAACCTAACCTTAGCTCTAAAACTCTTCCCCCCAAATCCTAAAGGTTAAATTTCTGAAAATAATCATAAGAGAAATACCAAGTTCATGTTCAGGCAGAAATTCATACCTGGTGGAGGAGGCGGCGGTGGTATTTCCTGCTCTTCCAAATCGAGGGATGACCTTGAAGGTGTAATCTTGTCGAATTCTTCTTTGGTAATCACATTCACAGTTTTGAAGCTATAGTCATTCTGAGACAACAACACAAAGTAAATATTAAAAACACATTATCTGGCATTTTCATAAAAGTGGTTGCAGTGACTAGGTCCAGGTAAGTATATACTTTACTCCAGTGATTCCCAAACTGTGCGCCGTGGCACCCCGGGGAGCCATGACCTCTTCACAGAGTTGCTGTGAAATATTTGAAGATACACAAGTTTTTTTTTTAGTTTTTTTTAATTTTTACATAAGAACAGTCATACTTTTAACTTAGTTTAAGGCGCAGTGGGAAAATTTTATTTGAAAAAAAAGGTGCCGCGACTAAGAAGTTTAGGAAACACTGCTTTACACCGTTGTCGTTTTATAATTATTATTATTTTGATTTATTTAATTTTACACAATAAAGTAGAAACTCAATTATCCAACTTGCAATTATCTGGCCTTGGTCTTTACGGTCTGCGTGCTTTCATTTTTCCTGCCGTTAAGTTAGACATAAAAATGTTTATCTTAAAATGTGAACAATATTTTTTTTTGGGAATGTTTTTCCCCCCAGGTAATAAATTTCTACCTATGGTCGAGGCGGCCAGAAGAGCTAGAGACAGAACCTTATATCTCCCTCGATACCCACAGGGGTAAAAGAGGAAGTGAAGAAGAAGAAGAAAAAATGTCTAAAACTTACAGTACAATAAAAAAGAAACATATAAAGTACTTGTGTGTACTAAGATGTCAGAAAATATGAATAAGATCAGGTTTTAGTTTTAAAAAATGGTGGTTTCAATGATATGGGTGTGGTAGAAACTGAGCATGTATAACATTCCTACATATCCAGCTTTTTTTTTGTTACCCTGTCCGCTATATTAGGCCGGATATTGCAGTCGACCGTATTTCAATACCATAATGCAGTTATTTTATAGTCCCTTAATTTGTGTATTGTTTCTTGTCATCATCGTTTACTAACAAAGGCTCATCACGTCAACAACCTTAGTTTACTGTAATCAGTTCTGTGAAGTTGATACTTTTATGTTTTTTGCATCTCCACCGTGAGGCCAACAATGGACATGACTTGTGTGGATTTAAGAAACAACATCACAGCACTTGAGACACTCCGTCCCCATCTTCAGCAGCACTCATTTCCAAAAGGCCCTCACAACATCTAGCTTGTCATACATCAATTCATCACCACTAAATGGCGCAGAACTGGCCAGTCTATCTGCTTGCCCATTTCCCAACCTGGAGAAAATATCCACAGGACACTAATTACCGGGGACCTCTGAAGCGACTCATGCGGAAAATCCAGTTTGTGGCTCAACTATACAAAGCTAAGGGACATTCAGCCAGGTGCTCATTTTACCTGCATGGGCTGCATGTTACACCTAGCTGGTAGCTGTCCTAAAGCAACAAACCAATCAATTGATCAGCCAGGGGCTAAATCCACAATGAAGGCTGGTTGCAACGAATCTTTAACATGCTTTGTCTTTCGTCCTGAATACACTTAAAATATTCTCTCTCTGACTGTTTTTGTGTGTGTGTGTTTTTTTTTTTTTTTTTTTAAATTTCCTGCAGCTCTCTCTTTTTAATCCTGACCTCTTCTAGAATTCTCTTTAAAAGAGCTGGTGGGCTAAGGGTAAAGCATCTGTGATGATGTTAAATACATCAGATAGCAACAATTCCAGGCTAAATGTTAAAGACTTTCCTTAACACAAACGGGTGGATGTTTACCCTTCAAAGGCCCAAAATATTGTCATCTTCACAGATTCAATGTCTGCCCTTCAAGCTCTGGAGGGCGGTGAACGCTGCAAAACTGACATAGCCAAGATAATCCTGGATGCTGATCAGCTTATTACCTCATACAACATCAGAATAGTGATGCAGTGGATTCCAGGCCACTCCGGCACACCAGGTAATGACAGAGCTGACAGACTGGCAAAGAAAGAAGCAACACAAGAACAACCACCTACAGCGACAACCCTCCAGACAGCAAAAACACTTATAAGAGCTGCAAACAAAGACACTTTGTTGAATAGATGGGCCATGGGAGACACTGGAAGAGAGGTTTATAGACATATGGCTGGCCCTGATCCTAATGACAGCATTACCCATCTAACAAGAAGGGACCAGGCCACCCTTCAGACTTTGAACGCAACATACTCCACTCAATGGGCATCTAAACAGAATACAGCCACAACACTCCCCAGAGTGCCAGCTATGTAACTACCCCTACGAAACTGTTGAACACAATCTCTTTGAGTGCCCAAAACTCAGCGAGACTAGAAGAATGCTACTCCCTCTGAGACCAGACAAGTAGAACACCTTGTATGGAGGAAAAGAACAGCTTGTGAAAACATGCAAATTCCACTACATGGCATTGGGCCAAAGCGCAAAAGCTCATGCACCGCTGGATTGTTAACAACAACAACAACAACAACACCACAAACGGGTCTTGCACAACACAACACTCATCTGGAAAGACAAAAAGGTGTCAACTACTAACCATAAACTCTTTCAGAAATCCTAAAGGCATAAGACATACAAGGACCTACAAAAAAAACAGAGTACACTGAACAATTCGTACCGAAAAATCTCCAGTATCCCACAGATCTTTCTCGTAGTAAAACAGACCATCGTTGATCACTTTGCTCAGCTCACATGTGATCTTTGACCTCTTGGTATAGTCGCCGGTTCTGTCACCGCCAGGATGTTTGCGCACTGCTGGCGGCGTCTGCATCACAATCAGGATCTTGTTGATGTCATTATCGTCAATCTCATCTTCGGAGTCATCTGACCTGTTGTAATTTTATGTTTGTTTGTATGAGGAAACAAAATCAACACAGACAGGACAACTTCAAGGACACAGACAGGACAACTTCAAATCATGACCAAGGATCATCAAACTTTACATTATTGACGCCAATCACATTCATGTACATGTACCCCTGGGAAGTACCAACAATGTACATGTATCCCTAGGAAGTACCAACAATGTACATGATCCCCGGGAAATAGCAATAATTTACATGTATCCCTGGGAAGTATCAACAATGTACATGTATCCCTAGGAAGTACCAATAATTTACATGTATCCCTGGGAAGTACCAACAATTTACATGTACCCCTGGACAGTACAAACAATTTACATGTACCCCTGGGAAGTACCAACAATTTACATGTACCCCTGGGAAATACCAACAATTTACATGTACCCCTGGGAAGTACCAACAATTTACATGTACCCCTGGGAAGTACAAACAATTTACATGTACCCCTGGGAAGTACCAACAATGTACATGTATCCCTGGGAAGTACCAACAATGTACATGTATCCCAGGGAAATAGCAATAATTTACATGTATCCCTGGGAAGTATCAACAATGTACATGTATCCCTGGGAAGTACCAACAATTTACATGTACCCCTGGACAGTACAAACAATTTACATGTACCCCTGGGAAGTACCTGCAATTTACATGTACCCCTGGGAAGTACCAACAATTTACATGTACCCCTGGGAAATACCAACAATTTACATGTACCCCTGGGAAGTACCAACAATTTACATGTACCCCTGGGAAGTACCAACAATTTACATGTACCCCTGGGAAGTACCAACAATTTACATGTACCCCTAGGAAGTACAAACAATTTACATGTACCCCTGGGAAGTACAAACAATTTACATGTACCCCTAGGAAGTACAAACTATTTACATGTACCCCTGGGAAGTACAAACAATTTACATGTACCCCTGGGAAGTACAAACAATTTACATGTACCCCTAGGAAGTACAAACAATTTACATGTACCCCTAGGAAGTACCAACAATATACATGTATCTCTTAGAAGTACTAACAGTGTACATGTAGCAACTGTTGATATATTATTGGGGAGTAGGGAACATGTACACATATCATTTGGAAGTAGCATGTTTATGTGTGCATGTGTGTGTGTGTGATGTGTGTGTGTGTGGAATTGTAGCCACTGTGTACATACATCACTGACAAGTAGCCTCACTGCACATACATAAATCACTGAGGATGAGAGCACTAACCAGTCTGTGAAGTTGTTAGCCCTGCCCACATTTAGGCTGTCAAGCTCCTCGTCGAACATGAAGTCCAACTCCTCTCGGTCATCTTCCATGCGCGAACTGACCATCCTATCCTGTAAAATAAATTAGGGCACGGGCAAATAAATACTAGAAATTCATTTCTGCTACTTGAGATAAGTGAAGAGCCAATACCACAGCACTTGGGATACTCCCATAAGCCAGCGAATCCCAACCATTTTCCAGTCATGACCCCATTTTACAGAGACGCCGTATATTACAAAAATGCTTTCCGATAATCTTCTTCTTCTTCTTCGCGTTCACCAGCTGTAAACTCTGGCGGAAAGTTCTGGTTGTTCATCCACTTCTGACTGCAGTCCTGTTCCAGAACCTGAGTGGCTAAGGCACTGCCAGTCTGACTCGTACTTTCCAACGTACCGCAATCGAAACCTACTGCTGGCTGCAAGGATTTTCATCATGGTATGAGACGTTGCAGGTCAACCCAGCCTAAAATGGGTACCAGGATGGATGTCCTGGGGAAGTAAAGATGGCCGGCGTAATACTGACCACATTACCCACCTAGTGCCGATTGGTATGGAAAAATATGTGTGCTCTTCCGATATGCCCGATCCGCCTAAAGGCGTAAAAGGGGATGTCATTTTCAGCAATTTTTTTTTTTCATAGCTCCTCACTGCCTGGCGACCCCACAGATAACCCATGCATTGAGAACTTGTGCCACAGGTTCTCTGTCTTTGTCTTCAGCAGTCAGTGAAGAGTTCCAGGGCTGACGGTACCAGCAACAGTTTGACTGTTATGTCCGCCTTGCCTCTCTTCTGGTTGTAGAAGCATCATTTTATGTTCCTAACTTAGTGTCAAACTTGGGGTATCATTTTATAGATTTGTTATGTGGATGTTTTCTGTATTCTGGCTTATTTATGTTCACTGATAAAGACAGGCAAGTGTGTCTTTCATTTCCTGGGCTGTCTAGTAACATTTTATGACTGCTTACTCTTTGACAGTCAGCTCTGTGGCTAAGTCGATATTGACGCTTTGTAATGCCGGGGTACTGGGTTCGATCCCAGCTGCAGGCCATGCGCCTTGCCTTGGTTTCGACTGTGGTATCAGGGAGCCGACCCTCCAGAAAGCAATGGCAAACTACTGGACCTAAATTTGCCTAGAGAAACCACGCAACAGCCAGGGGCTGCTGAGTTTGGTTTTGCAACGTCCTGTAAAGGATACGCAACTAACCTAACTCTTTGACAGATACTGAAGCGAACCCATAGGAACCAGAACGCATGGAGGTGTTGCATAGAGGATGAAAATCAATTAAGGCGATAGGGGTTAAGGAGAAAAAGACTGCAGGCAGGCTGAAAGATGAGTGTCTGCAAAATTCCTCTCCATTCCGTTCCGTAAAAAAAAAATTGTCACATTCAACCAGCACCCCCTGAAGAGTGAGCTTTAAGTTATAATTGTGACTAGGTTATGTGTGCCAGATAAAATGGCTCAGCACTGCATGCCACCAAGAGCCCTGAACAGGACTCCTGCAGTGTTGATGCGACCCAAGGAGACAGACCCCCTACACTGTCCTGACCGGCCACTACCGTCGAGCAGATGGGCGACCCGGTCGCCGATGACGTGAAATATGGGTAACAGCAACAATTATCCTGAAATCTCATGCACTAACTGTGGAAGCCGTTTCCTAACTCGAGTGGGTCTTCCTAATCACACTAGCTGGCACCATGAGCTGTGACTCCCAAACTATCCTACATTACAATATTATACGATCCTCTGAAGAGACGGAAAGGTGCCAATAACGGGTTGCCACTACTTTCTAAATAATGACATGAATGACAAATACAAATTAGCAGAGAATCAACTGATAAAATGAACAACAAAATCCCAATTATAATCAAGAGGGTTTGAAAAGGATATAAAATTCTTCATGGAAGAAAAACATTGTTCCCTTACCTTTTCCTCAGTACATTTCTCTTTGTTTCCGGTTTTCTTTTTTACTTTGTGCTGTACTGTTTGCCATTCATCAAATGACAACTGTGGTGCGCTGGAACCCAAAAAAGACAAACCAATGATAGTGCTCTCTCTTTATAACTTAATTACTGCAAGCAAAGGGATGCGCAAATATAAACATATCTACTCAAGCAGGTATAGTGCTCACAAACTAAAACTGGTCAAACTAAAAAAATGCTCTGCATTTATGGAAGCCTCCTTGGATGGCAGGAAAACCTATCTTCTGTCCCCATCATTACCTAAGGGCCAATGAGTCTGTACGCAGCTAGCCCTAAATAGGGTCCTTTGAGGGCAACATCTGTAGAACGGGAGATAGGTCACCACATAAATGAGGTTTTGAGTTGTCCCACAAAGCTGACCAAAAGGTCACCATGCAAATGACTGCAAAGCTGACTGGGAGGCTTGACCCAGTAGATACGTGTCGGCCGAAAGACACAAATGTTGCAGCTGTGCTGTAAACAAGCACAATTAAATTATTTCACTCGGGACAAACAATGAAGATGATGAAAAAATTGAAAAAAAATAAATAATATAAAATGTTTGGAAAAACATGACAGAATACTAATCTTAAGAATGATGCAAGTACAAGAAGACAGCAAACATGAATTGCTTGCAATCAACTTACAGGTAAAGAGGGCTAGGAAATAATTAGGACACACAAGCAAAACTGAATTATTGATTGTCTTTATTCATCTCACAGGAGGAGAGTAAAGAGGAATAAGTTTTTTTAAAAAGGATGCGACACAAGACAAAAGAGACAGAACAAAAATGAGAAAAGGGCAAAAGACAAAATGAAGGAAAGGGTAGTAGATATACAATCAAATTTTGCATCCATATATTGAAGACATCTTTGCGGTAATTATGGTGTGGTTGCTGGTGGCAGCATTCGAGAGGGGGAGGCAAAAGAAGGTGATGGAGGTTGAAAAGACATAAGAGAGTCATCAAAAGAAGGTGATGAAGGTTGAAAAGACATAAGAGAGTCAGCAAAAGAAGGTGATGGAGGTTGAAAAGACATAAGAGAGTCAGCAAAAGAAGGTGATGGAGGTTGAAAAGACATAAGAGAGTCAGCAAAAGAAGATGGGAGAGGGGAAAAAAAAAGGAGAAGCAAGTATTCAGTAGCCGTACCTTGAAGACAGCATTGGGGGAATGGTGGTGAGATTGCTTGTAGCATCACACAGCAGACTGTCGTGCTCTTCGTCGGTGTGCTTGCCCTGACTTCCGGAATCTAAAGTGTTGCGCTTCTCTACAGAAAGAGTCAGAACAAATTTTTGCAAAATAAAACAAAAAATTTTTTTTTAAACTTTAACCAACTTAACTCCCATTTTTTCATAGTCAGTCTGGCCACGGCCAGCTCCCACAGTAAGGCCAAACAGGTCTGCAGAAATTCCCATTTTGTAAACTTATACACAAATTAAAAACTACAGTGTAATTAACTTGCAACATATTTTATTGAATATTTTATTATTATTATTATTATTATTCTCATTTCTAATGGCTCACTTATTTATCTTCATAATAATAATTTATTCAATAAAAATTATGTTGCAAGTTAATTTAACTGTAGTTTAAATTGTGTATAAATTTACTCGAAAACAATGGTGAGCACAGACCAGTCATGGGCCGGCCTAACAAAACAGGAATTTCCATAGACCTGTTTGGCCTTACTGCTGAAGATGGCCGTGGATTGGCCTTCTCTGCCATCATGGATTCAGTCAGTCAACAGATATTCCTCACTGCACACGCAACATTTAGTCCACAAGTGCTCAGATTTCCTTCTCCTCTAATCAGCAAGTTGCAACTGATGATGAAATAACTTCTGAGTTGGTATATAATTACTTCTTTGGCTCCCCTATATGGCGCTCTAAAGAGGCAGAACCAGAAAGACAATGCCTGGTGGCCTGAAGCAATGGCATGAAGGAATTCATTAGTGGAATTGATTCAAAATATCAAGGACTGAGATCTACTGAGAGTCATGAGAGCCTATGCCACTGGGTAGGGCACATGTTGATTTTGCTCTTGTATGACCTCACCCCTTTTAATTTACTGTTCCTATAGTTTCCTCAAACACCTCAAAAACTGAAGTAATGACCATAGGAAAGAAACACAGTAATGTAAACATAAAGATCAATGACATACAATTAGAACAAGTTCAAGAATTCAAGTACTTAGGATGCATATTTACAGAAGATGGAAGACTCGATAAAGAGATACAGGCTAGAGTTCAAAAAGCCAATGCAGTCAACTACCAACTGGCCCCACTTCTTCGTCATCCAAAGATCTCGTTACCAGCCAAACAACGGATGATCAACAGCATTTTCATCCCTAGGTTATGTTATCAGTGCCAAACAAAGGACAATGAACAAATCACATATGCAAAAAATAACTACGTATGAAATGCGATGTCTCTGAAGAGTCACCAACAATACACGAAGAGACAGAGTCACAAACGTCAGCATTAGAGACAAAGTTGGAACAAGAGCATGCATGGAACATATTGAAAGACACAGAATGAAGTGGTTTGGTCATTTAGTAAGAATGCAACCGGATCAGATTGCCTATAAGGCCTTTTACAATAGAACATCGGGAAGAAAGGCCAGAGAAAGACCCCGGAAAAAATGGATAGATGGAGTAGCTGAATACGGCTAGAAGATCCAGAAAACTGTCACTCAAATCACGCGAGAGGCACAAAACAAATATTTTAAACCACGACACTGGGCTGCAACCCGGTAAAAGTGAAGAAGACAATAGATAGTTAGTTCCCTCAAGGTTGCAGACAGGCCTTGCTGGGATAAAAGATGCAGTTATCATAAAATAGCTATAAACCACATCATAATATGTCAAATGTCCTTTTAAGGGTGAACAAAGGAGAAGAAACATAAGCAGGAAGAGGAGGACGAGGAGCAGAAGAAGGAGTGCCAAAAGACTCAATATCTCATGCTGAAGAAAGCTTTAACTGCAAAATCCGACCACTCATGTACAAGCATACAAACAGCTGGGCTCGGCCAAGCAGGTTCAGGCTTGATCAAGGTAGCAGAAGACAAGGATGAGAGGCCTCACTCAACCGCCATTACTGCCTGCGTTCACCACTTTTGCAGTGTAGACCAGTGTTGTTGCAGGTTCGAATTTTATTTGTGCTCCCAACAGAAACAAATCTCTAATCTTATCAAGGATTCGAACCTGGGTGCCCTAACAAAGAACTCACAAACTAGAAAAAACATGCCACACATTTTACCTTGCTGGGCTTCACTCTGCAAATCTGTAGCATTGTTATTTAAACAACGTAGAACAAATGGTTTGCCAGGAACAAATTCTGGAGCGTCCAGATGTAATGTGGACGCTGCTGCAACTGTCTGGATGCCAGGCGGCGGAATTAAGCTTTTAATTTCATCGTCAATTGGCCACTTTTCGGGAGAGCTAATGGTTCTCACAGCATCTTCATTCACTGAGAGCTCCAGTTTATCAGATTTTTTAATGGCCTATACCAAGATAAATAAAGCAAACAAGTTAAACTCTGTCTCCCACGTGGACGTGTGCATGTATGTGTAACAAGGACCCTTTTTACATTAGTGACACATCGGGCACATGATTCTAGACAGGAGTGGACAGTCTTTTTTTTGTTCGGGGGCTGGCTAAACTCAACACCCAGATTTCCTGATAACACAATATTTTTGTGGGATATGGCACTCTTTTGATAAAAAAAATTTGCAGACAAGAGAAAAAAAAGGCAATCGTCGCCTTAAATTGTTTATCGAGGTCCACTGTCTCCTATTTTCTGAGATTGTCCGCAACATATGTTATAGCAATAGGACTCAGGATCCTCGATGGTTTATAGAGCTCATGCACTGCGCTGAGATTCTTCAGACTCAGACTTGAGTTAGAAGTAGAACGGAGCAATTATGGGTTACCACCCTTCTGCCATGATGTTGATCCTTTGTATAAACATAAACAGGATCTATAATTTGCCGGCATCAGTTTCTGGTTATCATGTTAGGCTATCCCTTTTTTGGGTGTTAATATTTAATCTTTTTCATTTAAATGCACGTTTTTGTGCTGTGAAATTTTGTGAGCTCAAGGGGCAAGATCATAGAAGAATTCAATACCAGGTTAGTGATCCTGTTTTAGATTAGGCTGATCTGCAAGCCAAGAAACAAAGACACCGACTTGAAGAATAGTGCTTTTGCTTGAGCTATTTTACATTTATCCTTAACAAATAATCAATCTTCTGTTATCAGACATCTAAGCTAACCCATCAACAAATGCCTGCAGATGTCAGACATGTAGGCCAAAAGGCGCAGATATCACTTTGGCTCAACACAGAAGAAGAAAAAGGAGGAGGAGAAGAAGAATCTAAGTACTTCTTATTCTAGTCTCCAGGAACTAACAAATTCGACAATCCATATTTTTTTAAATTCTTAATATGAATAGGGTAAAGCATGAAATGGAATACATTCTCAAGGGCCTTAAAAAAAACCATGTACTGGGTTACTAATTCCATGACCGCCTGACCTCCATCACTGAAGCTTACAGCACTGATTTCAACTTGGCTTTAAAAATCCAGTGGACACATCACAATAACTGGAGGCTAAAGTGAAAGAAGCACAAACAAAACAGGAAAAAAGATAAGAAGAAGAAAATATGTCAAAAGCTTAAACAACCGAGAAAAACCATGTAAGAAAGCGGAAACCAGGCAAAAAATTACACGTCGGATAACACACTACAGACAGCCAACCCAGGAAAAATAGGGACTAGTACTTATCAGAACTGCCTAGGGACCTCCTCTTCACAGCAGCAGACAATGAAATCTCACCAGCCAAGACGCCGGCAAAAAAAACAAGAACAAACTCAGGTATAACTGTTTGCCATAAAGAATGAGGAAAGAAAAACCGCAAGGACAAATGACCACAAATAAAGCCGAAGCTTTCAAAAACCCGGTAGACTCAATTTGGTTTACATTTTAATTTTGTTCCTCTCCTGAAATAACAACCAACACCCCCCCCCCCCTTCCCTTCCATGTGGACTCTAGAGCCTCCATTTTGGAAGGGGGAAGTAATAAGATTATTCCTACCACCCTTGAGCAAGTATAGCATACAGAATGAATCATTAGGAGCTTCTTCTTCTTGTACACCAGCTGTAAACTCTAGCGGAAAGTTCTGGGTGTTCGTCCACCTCTGGACATTAGTCTCGTTCTAGAAACTAAGTGCTGCCTGCGCATCCATTTCACAGATCTTGACTTATTTGTAAGGTAGATCCCAATTAGTCGACTTTGATATCATGCTTGTTAGGGAGGCAGTGGGTTTAATCTTATTTACTCCGGAATCCATACAGGAAAGTTGGCAGTTTGAAAAGATTGAATGTGTTGGGCCAAGAGGTATAGATATCGCAGTAAAGCTGGAGGGAGTTGCCCTGGCAGAGCGGCTAGATGCGCGCCGCGGATCGGAAGGCCATGGGTTTGCTCCCTGGCGGAGCCGGACTTTTCTTCAAAAAGTGACCTTGGCTCCCAGGTCGACCCAGCCTTGAGTGGGTACTGGGTGCAGTCCCGGGAAACAGAAGCAGCCGGCGTGATACTGACCACATCACCCATCTTGTGCCATTGGTCTATAAAAATACAGGTTTAGCCCTATAAGTCTAGAAGCATGGAACAGGGTCCTTTTTATAGCTGGAAATGACAACATAACAAGCACCCTTTTAAAGGTGAGCAAAGGAAGATGAGTAAGAAGAAAACATACAAATACAACGCATACCTTAACCAGACTTTCATAATCTGCATTCATCTCTTTGACTTTGTTGAAACTGAGAACCAGATCTAGCTTCACCCAGCCTTCTTTGTCCATCTTCTTCCTCAGGAAAAGATCCTTCACTAGATTGTCTTCACTGAAGTAGTATTCTCTGCAAAGGCAACAATAAGAAACATGTCCTTCACATATACATGTTTGATGTAAAAACAATAAGAACATACATAGTACACTTATACAGGTTTCATAGAAAAGATTTAAGAAACATACAGTTCAACTATATCAGGGCTATTCAACTGGGGGCCTGCTGGTCAAATCTGGCCTGCAGAGGACTAGCAAGTGGCCCTCAGATCACCTGCAAACTATTGTAATATTGATCTTTCTATGCTGGAGCTCAGCCCTCTGGCCCATGATGATCCTTACTTTCCAACACTTTGGCCCTTAAGTTAACTCAGCTGAGTGGCCCTGACCTATGTATATGTTTCACTGAAAACAAAAAGAAATAGGAAGTTCTCTTTTATACGTTTTAAATAAAATAATAATAAATAAGTAGTTCGCTTACATATTTGTTTTACCGCAAACAAGAAACATGCAGTTTGCTCTGAAGAAAGAAAAGAACAGAGAAGGAGAAGGAAAAAATAATTTGATCATCATTTTTCACTGTGGTTATGAATCCACTTGGGCATCTTAACATCAGACGAGATCGATGACAGATGAAACAGAGCAAACCAACTCACTAGGCATAATACACCAACACTAAGAAACAAACTTGTATCAGTAAAAAAAGAAAAACAACACACCATGACACAATCTTCTTGCCAACCCTGTGCTACCAATACCAGACCTGCATAATGACAGAAAAAGAGAACAGTAAAAATTACATCAACTGAAATGAGATTCCTATCACGGCCTCTCAATATAAAAATAAGAAATAAGATCAGAAACGATGAAATCAGAAGGAAAATGGGGTAGCAGCAGCTTTGGATTTCATTAGGAGACAACAGGTGAAATGGTTAGGGCATCTAATGCGGATGTCAGCATTACAGTTCACCACAGCAAGCAACGATGCACGGAGACCCAGCGGGGAGCGAAGAACAGGGGGACCATGCAAATTATGGACAGAGGGAATAACAGAGTCCCCAGGGATAAAATAAAGCGCACAAACTGGCACTTTCCCATAAATTATACTTCCCCTCGACACCACAAGGTACCAGAAAATCAAGATGAGATGACAGATGACTGGGAATCTACTCTGCAATGTAGACACACAAGCTCTCAGACTTACATTTGATGCTTCAAAGTCCCTGGAGTATACGACTGAGGAGTTGCCCCATAGTACACTGGGGTTTGTCCACCGATCATATTTAGCAAATGCTCCTGCATGAACAGGTTGTCCATTCCTAGCATCACTGGTGGAAAAAAGTCAAATAGTCAGTTTCTATTTATTTGTACACCTGGCGATGTCAACATGAATTTAAGGTAAGTAAAGGACCCTTTCCCCACCTTCAGGCATATTGGGCTTACTGGGCACATAGGGCTAGACCTAAACCTTATAGAGCAATCGACACTCAGTGGGTGATGTGGTCAGCATCATGCTGGCCGCAAGAGGTGAACGTAGACAGTTACTTTTCCCATAAATACCCCCCACCCCCACATTAAAACAAATTAACAAAATCTTTTCTTCTTCATAGGAAGTTGGCATATTGTGCTGTTGTTTATAGCTTGCGGTATATGGACTTTTCAGCCCAACACTTAATTGGTCCCCTTTTATAGCATGCTTGTTATAGAAGCAATGCTCAATTGGGAAAGTCAATGTTTTCTGAAACTTGCACGCTGGGACATGTATTATTTAGTTGACTAAATTACAGCAACAGCTTTGCCTACTACAGGGTGCATTCAAAAAGTAGTGCCCTATATATTTCTGTCAGCGAATAATAAAGATACAAATATGAAATTTTACACACTTCAAATATGAAATGTCAATAATGTGTGTGTGTGTGTGTGTGTGTGGAAATGGCAACTCATTCTGACAAAATGAACAGCTGCACAAATCCGTTAAAACAGAGAGTGGGTTGCAAGCTATTAGCTGAGGTTCCAACTTCAATGCTGATGGTTTGCCACATAACTGCTCTGTTTCTGTGCAGTGAAAAACATTAAATGTCCTTCACTGCCCTATTGGAAACTTGGGTAAAACATGTCAGTCCCAGCAAAATCTTGATGCTCGCACATGCAAAGTAAAGGCATAAGGCGGCTGTCAGATGTGCCAACAGTAGCAGCCACACACCAGAATTGCAGTTTACTGTTGATGCAAGCAGTCAAGTATGAAAGCCAGTATTGTTCACACAATATTGCATAAAGTGTGCATTGTTGATCGCTGGGTTCTGAGAGTTGAAGCTTCAGAAAGTGAAGACCACAGACCTGCTGTGAAGCACTGTCTACATGGAAAAGAAAAACCTAACACATGCAAGGCATACATTCCCTTGTTTTGCACTAGCATTAGAGCACAGGTGCTGACACAGTTTGCGTAAAAAATTAGGCTACGTAAAGTACATAATGAACTAGTTGTATTGTCAGTTAATTTCTTACAGTCTGCACAAACAGGCTGCAAAAAAAAAAAAAAAAAAAAGTGAGGCATTGTGTTCTGAATACACAGATTTAAACACACAACATCAAACGATTGCTACTCAGTGGCATACAACAAACTATTCAGAAGAGCTGCTAGAAAACCGCATAACCTGCAAAGGCCCATTAGGACACATCTGCCTTCAAACTTCATATATCAAATCCAGAATCACTGCACAAACCATAGTTCATTATTTACATGTCCTTATATTTTCTGTGTCATTGCCATTGAAAAAATATACAATTACGCAGGAACTGCAGTTTCCGTTAACTTGTTCAGTTCCGTGCAACTCACCATGCGTTTGTTGGTTTCTGCTTATATGCTTTTATTTCTTCCACTCCTTATGCGCCAGCCAGTTATTATACCAATTCAGTCGGTACCCGCGGTTACTTTAACTTTTCTGACACATGGTGTTAATGTTTTAACTACCTCAGGTAGAATATTTATTAAAGTAACAATTTCTTATGACATAATGAATTAAAATAACATTCGCCTGGGACTGAAATAGGTAAAGCTACATATGTCTTTGAAGCATTTAGATTACATAATTATTTTGCTGATGCTGTAATTTAGGTGTTACATGGTTTGTAATTTTTAATCATACAGTTTAATACAGCTGCAGACGATTTAGCAGCAAACCGTTTTTTTATTAATTATACCCTCTCGCTCCCAAGGAAGCCGGTTTTCTGACTTTTAAGGGTTTTTGATGCACACAGTGTTTTTAGGCAAAGGTCACTACGCTGTATGACATCTTTGGTGCTGGTTGTAGACGTAATGGGCACAACAAAATTTAGATTTAAAAAATGTTCAATATATTATTTGTTATTTGTGATGTGGGGGGTCACTGTTACATCATTACTGTGTCATAATAAACTTATGATGTTGTCACATACTCAGACATGGCTATCTTAGCAATCCAATAGTTCTTAGCATAAGGAGTAAAATCAGTTTATGCTTTGATCTGATTGTATTTAATGATTAAATCCGTTAACAGGCCGTGGAACTACTGGGTTTTTTAACTGTTTTTTTTTTAATCTTTTTTTTTTTGGGATGTGACTTTGGAGGTTGCAATGGTACAACTGCTAGTAGTGTGCTTGCCTGTCTGCTCAGTGGCCATAAGTTTCAACCTTGTGGATTTTTATAAAAACTGACAAAAGCTAAAATTGTGTGTCCTTTTTCTTCTCTTCCTCTAGTTTTTCTGAAGGCAGAGTTCCTGAGAATTAAAAGGATGGGTTATTTTTTTTTAAAATTTGAAAAAGGTCACTGTTTAGGATTCTTATGAGTTGAAATAGTTCATTTCAAAGTGAAGAGCTTTACTCTACCGCCCGTGTGGCTAACAAAAACTGTACACAGTGTTTGCAGTAACTGTTCACAGAAAGGACACAACACAACCAAGGTTATGATGGAGGCACTGCACACAGTTTTTGCAGTAACTGTTCACAGAAAAACACAACATGACCACGGTTATGATGGAGGCACTGCACACAGTGTTTGCAGTAACTGTTCACAGAAAGACACAACATGACCACGGTTATGATGGAGGCACTGCACACAGTGTTTGCAGTAACTGTTCACAGAAAAACACAACATGACCAAGGTTATGATGGAGGCACTGCACACAGTGTTTGCAGTAACTGCTCACAGAAAGGACACAACACAACCAAGGTTATGATGAAGGCACTGCACACTGCACACTTAGCAAAACTAGTTAAAAAGAAGACAAAGCAAATTTTCAGTAAGTGCTACCTTTCACCAAAGCAAGATAAACGTGTTAGAAATTATCTAAGATATTACTCGTCCAGTGAGTTAATGTGTTCACATGTGACTGTAAAGTTTCAGGTAAAGGTTTATAGCTGTTACATATTTTTTTTTTTTTAATTTTCAAGGAGCTCAAAAAATACCTATCCTGCCTGCTTTTTAGTGATCCCTATGTAAATCCTTATCCCTAATTATGCTATCAGTCCAAAGTATACCCAATTTCCAAGATATGCACATATAACACCCCTGTTGCTCTGTGCTTAGGTAACCAAACTTCAACAGAATAATTACGGTATTAGTAATTTTAGTGTACCTATGCTGGGACCCACAGCATTAAAAGTCTCGGGTTAAGCACCAGCAAGGAAATCAAACTTAATAATTTTGAGAGCATGCATCTTCCCTGAAGGAACATACGGATGTGAGTCTTTAGAAAGAAAATTGGGGCTTTTGAGCGGAAATGCTGGGGAAAAAAAAAAAAAAGATTCTAAGAATAGCATGGACAACGAAAAGAAGAAACAACGACATTTTAAAATATCTGAACATTAAGGAAGATTAGATAATAAATAACATCTTGTCTTAGAAGCTGACATATTTTGGTCATAAGTGCCATGGTGGACTTGGGAGAGAAAAAAAAAATAACAGAAGGCATAGTACCAGTAAGGAGGGGCAGGGGCCAACTAACATGAAGATGGGCACAGGATATAAGTGATTCCTTGAATATGAAAGTAGACGAGGTGAGAGAGCTGGCAAGAGACCGAGTTTCTTTCAGGCAGACCGTGATGAGAGCGACGTTCTGCAAAGCACCTGCTACATGATGATGATGATGACAGTGGGAACTCATGTACTGTTTTGTCTGACCCTAAAACAAGAGAATGAGGCCCAAACTGTAGCTTACAAATGACGAAGACTATACTAAAACCAAAACAATCTTCTATTTCTTCAGGACTAAAAATAATCTCCCGAAACTGAATGAAACTAAGAACAGATAAATCTTCTTTCTTCTTCTTCTTCTCTTCCACCATGTACCTTGGTGAAGTGTTGGTGGGAGAGGTAACATTTGTTGATGAGCTCTGTCTAGAGCACTGTTAAGACTGATATTCATTTCTGTAAGGCTGTTCTTAATCATTTGCTCTATACCCGTTGTAATGTTTTAGTGTGGCTCGCTGTGTCAGATAGTATCAGGGCATTCTTATTAGGTGTCCAAACCACTTCATTTATTGTTTTTTTATGACCTGTAAGACTGGCTTTATTCCTAGCATTTGTCTGATTTTTGTGATTTTGTATCCTGTCTTTCTTTGAAACTCCTGCAGCTCTTCTTAGGCATTTCATCTCTGTTATCACAATTTTACGTTCACTGGAGGATGTAAGTGTCCACGTTTGGCATTGATAGCATGGTTTTGGCCAAAAAATAGTTCAGGTAAGATTCACTTTAGTACTCTAGGGTATCTAATAGATAAATAAATGAATCATCAAGAACTGATATCCTTGCACTCTAAACATTTCCACATGTGATCCGTCTCCTTCCTCAGCAGCTAACTAAATGCTGATATGCTAACAGCTTCAGCTGCAACCTGACTAATAGTCTGCCCATGTTTCCAACTCAGTATTGAATGTCTTCCAGAACCATTCATTGGAATGCCCCGAGTGCCATGATGTTGCTTCTTAACTCATCTTAACCCCCACAGAAGTATTTGCTACGGGACTACTTAAACTTTTTAACAAGAACGTATCAGTAGTCTGGGATTATCACACACACACATGATGATCCGGGCAATGGAAGACAAGCAATTAGACGTGCAGTCACACTACAAAGAACATGCCCCTTCCCTAATATAATGGGTGAGTACAATATTATCGGGCAAAAGACACCAGCAACTTTTTGTTAGTTTTGGCAAGACCTACGCACCAGAACTGTGAAATACTACTAACAAAAACACTCAAAATAAAAGCAACAACAAGAATTAACCTGTGAGGTTTATCGGAGGCACACGGGGTATTTTCTGAACCCCATTAAATCCCCGGTTCCAAGGAAATGCTAGAAAAGTAAGAGGTGGAAAAACCAGCTTAATTAAACTTGTGACCAATATATAATATACTAAGTATTTGAAGAATGAGGAAAGAAAAACAAGGTGGGGGGATAAGAACCAACTAGTGAAGATGTAATATGATGTATGTGAAAGAACAAGGAATGACTGAACAACCCTTGGCCAATATGTATTATGTAAGGTGTGCAAGAAGAATAAGAACTGCATTAACAAACCCTTACCCAATATATAATGAATGTGTGGTTTGTGAGAAAAACAAGAATTGTCTTATCAAATCCTTAGCCAGTATATAATAAATGTGTGGTGTGCGAGAAGAACAAGAATTTGCTTTAAAAAACCCTTAGCCAAAATCTAATGTGTGGTTTGTGAGAAGAACCAAAAGTGGCTTAACAGCTGGCCTATAAAAAATAAATGTGTTGTGTGTTAAAGGAACACACCTCTAAGCAATACATTAAACTCATCTGACCCATTGAAAATCGGCAAGTGAATTAATGAAAATAGCACCAAAGCTCCCACAGTACCATTAATAATTGGGAAAAAAAAATAATAATAATAATAAAGGCGAAAAGCACATAAGTCCCAAGATACCATAAAGAAAGAAAAAAAAACATTGCTGCTACAGTAGTCACAGAAAGTAAATAACAATGGCATAGATTCCTGATAAATGGCCGCTAACTATTTCACTATGTAGCAATGTACATCTGTGGTTTTTCAAAACAAATCGTCGGATGTGTACTAAAGTTATCAAACAGAACATTCCTTGTCCTGTCTTGTTCTTAATCTATGGCATGACAGCAATCAGCATTGCTCTATTTTACTACCTTACATTCCCTACAAGAGCAACAATAGTGCAACAGCAACTGAAGGTCGTGGTTCGAATCTGCATCAATTCAAATTTTCTTTTTTAACCATAACCTAGGCTCCCCGGCTGATACAGACTAAAGTGGGTATTCAGTAAAATCCTTAGCAACAAAGGCAGCTGGCGTGATGCTGACTGTATTCTCCATCAAGTGCTATTGGTTCGTGTTTTTAAAAAAATGTCTAGCCTCGTATACTTGATGCACCACTAGGTTAAAAGGGTCCTGTAACACCCACTATGTAATCAAGTCAATTGTTGCCCTGTTTTTTTTTTGTTTTTTTTTTATGGATTCCGATTCTCTTATTCTTTTTTTCTTCTTCACGTTCACCGGCTGTAAACTTCGGCAGAAAGTTCTGGTTGTTCGTCCACTTCTAGACTGCAGTTCTGTTTCAGAATCTAGGTGTTGCATGTGCATCCGTTTCACAGATCTGACTCATTCGTGTGCAGACTGTTGGTTGCTTGCCTCTCAGGCCGATGCACTCCGACTTTGAAGGAAGCTCCCAATTAGTCGACTCTTATGACAATGCTTTTGAGTAGGCAGTGGGCCTATTCTTGTTCTCCCTATAATAGGGCCCCAGAACCCACACAGAGAGATTCTCTTATCACAGTTTATTCTTTCAGGGTAAATCTATTTAGGTGGTCAACAGCATTGATGCAACAATCAGAAGTAACCAGCTTTCTGCTTTAAACCTCAGATATTTTCCTCTTTCCTTGAAACCCAATGCTCAGACATTAGCGTTCCTATTTAGTCCCTAAGCAATGGACCCTTTACCATGCCGTCAGCCATATTGGGCTAGACCTATATTTTACGGACCAATCAGCGCTCGGTAGGTGATGTGGTCAACATCATGCCGGCCTACTTTGCTTCCCAGTACTTTTACTTGGTAACCATTTAAGACTGGGTGGACCTGGGAGCCGAAGACATTTTTAAAAACAGTCCGGCTCCATCAGGACTTGGACCCAAGATCTTCCGATCCACAGGCAAGAGTCTACCTACTACACCACGGCAGCTCCCTGCATTTGGTCTTTAATAATGAAAAAAAAAAAAATTTTTTTAATATAAAAAAAATGTTACAAAACTATTTTTAAAATGTGTTTGCCTTACAGCTTAGTAGAAAACAAGTTTGATAACAGAGACGCTGAAAGTCTAGCCATCATTATTTACAGAATGTGACTAAAATTATTGGGCCAGAACATACTATGTGGCCTATTTGGACAGAGATTGCCTGGCCGTGAAGCTTCACAATATGTGAATACACAAATTTAAAAAGTTGGGTGACCGAAAGAATGAAACAAAACCTTGAACAGTGTCAGCATCTGTGGGGACAGTTGGGAAGGCCTGATCGGTGCTCCAGTTGCCTACAATAGATGTGAAAATATTCTTCATTACCGTGAATGAGTGCATATATGTAGATTTGAATTTACGTATTTGTCATCCATTTGTATTTTTTTTACCCAAAACTTATACTATGTAGTTTGCTATGTGAAGATAATATGCTTTTTAAATTTTAAAAAAAAAATTTAATCATTACAACTAATGTCTGCAGAAGTAACACCTGGAAAGCCTGAATGTGTAAGATTAGTTAGTTAGTTGTTTATCCTTTACAGGACATTGCAGAACCAACCCCAGCATTTGTTTAGACTGTTGTGGTTTTCCTAGGCAAGTTTACGTCCAGTAGTTTGCCACTGCTTTCTGGACGGTCGACTTCTCGATACCACTATTGAAACCAACGCCAGGCGCAAGGCCCACAGCTGGATCAAACCCTGCACCCCGGCATTACAAAGCCACGGACACCGACATGTGTAAGATAGGCATGCATAATTTCCTTCGTTGTATCTCCTCGAGAGTCAAAATTCCAAATAGGTGAAATGGTACGTTACTTTAATTGGTTTGTTCCCAAGCATGACATCTACATGATCTATTGTTGGTATCTTTAATTGAACACTTATAACTTATTTGTAGTCCGATGTTTGCTGCTGTAGACAACATGTCTTTTTATGCCATATCATGTATTTATAGACCAATCAGCCACCAATGGATGATGTGGTCAACTTCTCGCCTATTGCCTTTACTTCCCAGGACATTACCTGGTATCCATTATAAGCTGGGTAAACCTGACAGCCAAGGTCAATGATGTAAAACATCTGCCTTGATGTGGGTCTGAAAGTGTTTTTAAGGCAAGAAAAATGGAGGAAGGAAAAAGGGATATGGTGAGCATAAACTTATGGGCAAAAAACTGCACACTTTATAAATCCAAATTCAAAACATTAGCCATAATGGACTGGGGCATTTACATACATCTTCTTCTTCTTCGGCGTTCCGAGCCCCTGAGGTTCATTGCTGCAAATTTCACCCGCCTCCACTCATCTCGCTGGTTGGCCTTCTCTTTCCAGTTGGTGACACCAAGTGTTTGCAGGTCTGTCTGGACCTTATCTCTCCATCGTCTTCTTGGTCTGCCTAGTGGTCTACCACCATTCAGCTCCCTTGTGTATACAGTTTTTACCTCTTCGTTATTTGACATTCTCTCAATATGCCCAAGCCATTGCAGTCTATTAGCTCCCATGATGCCAGTGATCAATGGTGATTTAAAACAGATTATGAATTTCATTGCTGCTTCTTACTCTCCATTCCCCACTGCATCTTTGGTCAGTATTTACATACATAAGCAGTTTTATATTAGGTCTTAAACAAGAAAAAAACCTTACAACAGATAGATCCAAAAACGTCACTGAAGTAAAAACGTCACAATCACCCCTCCAAATGCATGTTAAAATCTGAACCAAAACTTACTTGGAAATAGGGGTGATGAAGCATCTCTTAGTCCACCTCTTCCTCCTCTGCCGCCGCCTCGCCCTCCACGAGCATTCCCACGGATTCCGCCACGACCACGTCCACGTATTCCACCAAAAGCTCCAACAGCTGCAGCATCTGGAGCATTTCCCCCTGGGGTCAACTTGGCTCTCCAGTTCTGGGAATCTGGACCGGCTGTTTGGGCCACAAGAACATAAAAACCTCAAGTAACTCAGACATTAATGATCTATGAGGCCTATCAACACAGTCCCAGATCGAGTCAGCCTTAAATGGGACACAGAAATATCATGGAAAGTAATGGTGACCGGTAATTCTGGCAGGGACAATTCTTGACAAGAGTTCAGATCAGCTAAGTTGATTCAAGAATCGACATCACGACACTTGGAGCATTCCAATAAGTGCTCCATCCCTAAATTCAGCAGCAAGCGCAGACTTCCAGTACAAATGATGCAAGTAGCAGTGTGATTATATGTTCATTTTGCTTTTCCTCTGAGTGTCGAGCATCTGCCGGTTCTCCTTGTCACTACTTGCTGCATCAATCTCACCAGACTGTGACAATCAATTTGCTGGCGACAGCTTTATCAAAGCAAGAAAAACAGAGGAAGGAAACAGGGATATGGTGAGCAAAAGTAGATGGGTACCAAATCATTCTGCACCAATCAGTTGATATGTGTCATGGTCATTCCAGAGATAACCTTACGTTTTTGCTGTCTTCTACCAAAGTGGGCGTCAGTGGCTCAGATATTGCAAATGCACTTCGTAATGCCAGGTTCGATTCTAGTTGCCAGCTAATTGACAACTGATAACCTGGCATTGGTTTTGATATAGGTATCAAGATCCGACTGTTTAGAAAGCAACGGCAAACTAATGAATGTTAAAATGAGTTGTTAATGTTGGGAAACCTCGACAGCCAAAAAATGCTGTGGTTGTTATTGCAGCGACCTGTAGCGAACAAGCAACTAAAAAAAAAAAAACTTCTGTCGCAGACAAGTGTAAGATTCACAGGGTGCATAGTCATATTGGCCATTTTCAAGGCTTTTCAAGGATTTCTCTCTTTGTATCTGAATTATTAGTCTGACTACTTATAGTGTCTCTGCTGAACCTCTTGAGAGGAAAATAACTGCTTTCATGCTGAACAACTTGAAACAGGAGTTTCAAATTAACCATATAAGAGTTAAGTAACAAATGTTTTGGGAGTGTATCAAAATATCGAAACAACAGAGAGGTTTGCAGATCACGACAGCTGAAGTATATTCTAGACCCGGTAACTAAAGAAAAGGAAAGATGATAACAATCTAAACAGGCTCCCTGTGCGTGTGAATGGATATTGTTAACTCAGTGACAAACCTTTAAATCAAATCTTCACTTGCACAGTCCCTGGCAACAGCACTAGCCATGCGGTCCTAAACCCATAAGCTCAAAAATCCCCCTGCCTACACTGCACAACTGGTAAATGGGGCAGCAACAGGCTGTTTCCGCACTAGCAATCACTTCACTATGTGTTTATTGGTAGCTTCATAAGTGGTGTTTTTATCCCCCTAAAATCTGTGAGTCCCATCTAGATCTTATTTTAATTCTTTTTTATTCATTAATTCCCTGTCTCGGTTGTGGGGCCTCATTATGGTTAAAACAAGAAAAGACCCACTGCCTTCCTAACAAGCATGCTGTACGAGGCAACTAATGAAGGGTTTCCTTCTAAGTCAGTGCATCTGCCTGAGAGGCAATAAGCCAAAAGTCTGTATTCAAATAAGCCAGACCTGTAAAATGGCTATGCATGCAACACTCAAGTTCTGGAAAAAGACTAAAAATCCAGAAGTGGACAAACAACCAGAACTTTCTGCCAGAGCTTACAGATATAGAAGGCAAAGAAGCAAGAGTAGTTCATTACAATCCCTATGTGGGGTCCAGGCCTGGTATGAAAGAGACAGCAGAGGTAGCCTAACTGTAACTATACAACCATTCTCCTCTTCTGTTCTTGATAGACCTAAAACACTGCTGACTTATTTGTGTTTCTCTTATAACTGCTGACAGCAGCTGTCCAGATATTTTCTTTGCTGCTCTTGAATTCATTCGCTGTTTGGTCAGGGCATGGAGGCTGCTGTGGTGGAGGGGCTAGACACTTGCCTGTGGATCCGCAGGTTGTGGGTTCAGGTCCTGATTTAGCTGGACTTTAAAAAAAAAAGTTCATACCCTGGCTCCCAGACTGACTCAGCCTTAAACAAGTAGCAGGAAAAGTCCCACGAAGTAAAGGCGGCCGATATAATGTTGTCACCGAGTGCTAATTGGTTTATAAAATCTAGGTCTAGCCTTAAATGTCCAACAAACATGGAGGAGTAGAAAACGGTTCTTTACTTTACTTAGGGCATATTATGAAACTCCAACACTATACTTACTTCCTACAAGGGTGTGTATTTGAATCATATGAAAGTAGAACACCTATGAGCTAGCTGTTGAATCTCTGCATCCAGCATCCACGCCAACCCTTTCTGTCTTTCACTATGAGGTGCCCCAAACAACCCATTTAAACAAAAAGATGGAACATACCATCAGATCTGCGACTATCCGGGCGGTAACGTTCTCCAGCATGACGACCATCACGTCTGTTTGGAGAAAACCCACGACCTTGGCTTCGGCTACGTCTGTTGCGTCTATCTGGTTTCGGGTGGTCAATCTCCATTCTTTGCCATTTTGGTTTTGTAGCTGATTGGGAGAAAAAAAAAGAAGACACGTTTTAAAACCAAGTTATAGAAATATCATTCTTTCTTTTCAAAGCCAGTTCAACATGTAATCTGTTGTCTGTAACAGTTTTATGCACTCAGACTTAATTACTTCAACTTCAGCGCAGGGGCGACGGCACAACAAAGAAATCATTGGCACGGGAAGAGGGAGGGGGAGCGGAGATCTTCTGAGAAATCAACCCAGCTTTGAGGATTAAGACTCAGGTCAATTGGACTTCAAATACAGACATAAGCTTGTAACTTTGTACACACCAATTTAGTCCCCCCCCCCATATTTCAGGTGTCTTGTGACTTTAGTCCCAAACAATGCCCCATGTGTGAACAGCTAATGTCCATGCAGTATTATATTTTCTATTTTGAACTTATTTGAAATCTGGCTTCAAATATGGTAGCACAAAGCAGTGTCTGTTTTATCATACATAGTGTATATATGTTTTTTCATTTATTTTATTTGCAGTTGTGTGCATCTCAAGCATCTGCTGCAAAATGCTGTAGGACTAACAGAGACAGCACACACATAATCTGCTGTGATTGTTGAGACCAGACCTCTTATCTTATAGATAAGGCCTTTTCTACTGGTGGCCCATGGGCCAGAGCTTAGACACAAAGGCCTAGCAAGTGGCCAGCATGTCACTGCCAGCTGTTTTGTATTAATAATCTGTCTATGCTGGGGATCAGGTTTCTGGGCCGTGACGATCGTTTCACTTTTGTAACTAGAAAATCTGTAGTTGATTAGTCCTGTCAGAGATGAATCTTTAATTCATTTTGCACCAACAACATAAAATGAGTTGAAAGTAATTAAAAAAAAAGCCTGCCAAGCTGTAACTCAAGCAGGCATGATAGTTTCAGTGAGGATAGTTACATTTTCTACAAGGACACAATATTTCTAGGGTAGTGAACAGGAAATGCTCACAAAATAATTTCAAACCTATCACTGTATATTCTGCACTTCAACAGTAAGCATGAAAAGTGAAATGAGCCAGCTGAATTGTGCAGATGGAATTTATATTAAATCTAAAGTTACCCTGTCAGTCACATGACTACAGTGAACATCAGGCGACTGGGAAACATGAAGCACAGAAAAGAAACTACTCGCATTTCAGTTGGATTTATTCAGTTTTTGTTTAGTTTTGTGTGCTTCATTTTTATGTTGATGTAACTCTGTAGTAACGCACCTGACAAGTTACAGCAAAATATGCCTAGCAATAAACTGTGCAATGTATTGTTTGTGTCCGCATTATCTCTTCTTCTAATGCGTTCATCCGAAGATGTAATTGCGTTGTGTCCGTTTACAGCATGGCTGCGATATTTGCACCTTTCGGCCAAAACATCTGACTTCTGCTGGCATTTTTTGAACGGGTTAGCCTTGCTGGTGTCCACATTATTTGAATAGACCTTGCCCAGACCAAATTTCCAAATCCTAATCATATAAATATATTTACACTACATGTGTTTGCCGTATACACACACATCCTTGTGGACTTTGTGCAACAGGCTGTGATTGTCTTTGGGTTAACTATGGTATGAGCCTGAAACCACTTAAGAAGTATCCAGATGCAATGAAAGTGGCTCATCGCAAAACAAACCACACACAAAAGGGAAAAACAGCTGCCTGTAGTTAGGTATACGCCACCAGGACATCACACAAATGATAAACATCCGGTGACACAAAGTCCCACCATGTAGATGAGGATCACCCGTGGAGAGGTAGGTCACAGAAACCCCTTTCAGCAGTTAGGCCATAACTATGGCTAGGCAGTATTTATGCCCTGGCTATATTCAGGGCCCCTGGGAAAAGCCAGGGTGGGGCTTAAAAAAAATTGCATTCCACATGGGGACGACTAGCTGCCTGTGAAAGAGGTTTTTGTATATAACTGAATGAAGAGAACAGGCAGTACCTTTCTTTCCTTTGGCAGCATTGTTTGTGTCGTCTCCATTGACTGCACTTTCCTTGTTTTCTTTGGAAGAATCATCCCCTCCAGAGTCGCTCTGCTGCTGAGCCTGCAACTGGAGTCAGAAACATGTTAAGGATATAGTAAAATCCCTCAGATGTGAAAATTCAATAAACATTCAAATGCCATGCTTACTGCACTAGGCAACAATACAATAAATATCAAGATAGCTGGAATCAGTGAATAATCTCTGTAGCACTCACAAGGATTCCACTGTGTATCTCAAAATGCACAAAAACACAATAATTATAATATTTTTACCGTTTTAAAACCTTGGCTGTGTTATGAGCATATGGCCTACTCTTAATATGCCTACATTATACAGCATAGATAAGTACCCATTTTTTTTTTTTAGAGTTGTACACTAAGACTATGTATCCAAAGCCGCTACTAAATGATCAAAATGGGTATGATGTCACCAGTTGCCATTCAAAAAAGTCCTGATTCAAACCTGGCATAGCCAGAGATCGATTTCAAACTCATATGCCATTATGGCTCCCACACAAGAGTAAAATAAGACATGTAAAGAGTTTTAAAAAAAAACCTTAGCACTAATATGGCCAAAATAATGAGTTGAGTCAAGAATTGACATCACATCACTAAGGGCATTCCCATGCATTATCCGTCCTCATCTTCAGCAGCCAGCGCAGAGTTCCAATACTGATGGTACCGGCCACAATCTGGTTTTATTTCCGTCTTGCCTTTCCTCTGAGTGTAGTAAGCCAGCCAGACCCTCTAGTTACAGGTGCCTCATTCTTTCCAGGCCATAATCATCTTGTTTCTCTACTGATTCCGTAGCTTGTTCCCAAAGGGCCTTGACCACATCTGCCTTGTCGTGTATCAATTCACCACCCAGTGGTGCAGATCCAACCAATCTGTCTGCTTGTTCATTACCCACTACGATGGCATGGCCACAATTATGAATGGACTAATATAAATACAATAACAAATAAACATACTGTCTGTTTGCTCTCTGCAAGTGTGGTGACACTTTTGGCATCCACAAGCGCCAGTTCCTCCACAACACTGACTACTGGAACTTCAGCTGTGTCTACAGATGCTGCTACTGCGACGACTGCCTCTGTCGAAGTTGTTGAACCATTTCCTTTCACTTTCAGGGCTTTTGGAACCTTGAGAGGCACAGTTTGATTTGACTGTAATGCAATTAAAGGTTTAATTGTTCACTATCTCCTTAATTGAAATATTTAACCCTCAAATTAAAAGTACGCAATTAGACAATACATCAGGATCTTGAAAAGCAGGCCTGACAAACTCGAGTAGGTCAGTTACAGTTATGGTGTGGACATGTATGCAGTGTGGGAGAAAACTGGCCACCATGGCAGGCGTGGGAGGCTAAGAACTAGGGCACCAGACCACCAGGGCGATCCAGGGTTCACTAGGAAGGAAACACCCGACAGTCTCTGACTGACAGAGGACTAGAATGGAACAAAGCTAGATAGAAAACTGCTGACAGAGAAGTCTGGCGATCGCTCTGACGAACCACTATACCACAGGGCAGAAGACAAGCGACTAAGTAAGTAAGTCAACTCTAAAATTAAACAGATAGTGCTGTATGCAGCAGAATGGCAAAAAATATACTAGACCCGTCCTGGGGAGGAAAAAAAAAACAGGTAATGTGGTGGGAAATAGATGGACTGATGAGAACTGGGAGGTCCAAGAACAACCCTAAGACAAATGATCAGAGAAGGGCAAAGGTGCTGGACTGGATTCTATCCACAATACTGGAAACAAAATTTGCACAGGATAGAATGGTGTAGGTGGTCAGTGATTCTCAGTCGGTACAGTGGAAGGTTCATTGGGGCAAACGTGGAAACCAAGCATCATCGCGTTAACATTACAGGGACTCAGGTGGATATACTGTTTAGGAAATGCAGGAGTGTCAGGGAATGAAAGAGCCGATTTTCTAGCTACAAAAGCAATAGCTAAGTGAACACTAGCACTGAACAAAGCAGATATTTTAAATGACGCTTTCTGAACAAATGGGGCGAATGCGAAGAAAAGAGTGATGTGTGTATAATCAGTGTTCTATGGGAGCCATTAGCATCCACACCAAGCTCATTCAACTGACAGCCTGCTAGCCAAATCAGGCCCGCAAAGGCCTAGCAGGTGGCCCACTGATCACTGCCATTTTTATTGTATTAATGATCTTTTTATGCTGGGGCTCGGGTTTATGGCATGTGACAATCCCTATTATCAAAACTATTGTCTACCCCACCCTAAAAGTGGTACACACAGACAGTAGTGACAGCCCCTATTATCAAAACTATTGTCTACCCCACCCAATAAAGTGGTACACACAGACAGTAGTGACAGCCCCTATTATCAAAACTATTGTCTACACCACCCAATAAAGTGGTACACACAGACAGTAGTGATAGTCCCTATTATCAAAACTATTGTCTACACCACCCAATAAAGTGGTACACACAGACAGTAGTGACAGTCCCTATTTTCAAAATTATTGTCTACCCCACCCTAAAAAGTGGTACACACAAACAGTAGTGACAGTCCCTATTTTCAAAATTATTGTCGACACCACCCTAAAAAGTGGTACACACAGACAGTAGTGACAGTTTAGTGACAGAATAAACTTAGCTTGAACAGCCCCAATGCCCACCTTAAATCATCTGCTGTGGGAGCAAAAATATGAAGATGACTAAAAAAAATCTATACCATAAATCACAAACCCTTTCTGTATTTCGTGTGTTTATTATAAATGAACTGTTAACTCCTTTCAGACAATGCCCAATACACAGGTTTAATTTTCAGTTGCCATCATGGCTAAAATGTTTAATTTAACAATCATACGGGCGGTCTGGTTATTGTGTATTTCCTGTATTTATTGTGAAAATCAGTGAAAGTAAACTTTCGCTGGAGTTATATATCTTTCAATATTTTTCCTCTTACATCCATAACATTTTTAAAAATTAGATTTCATTGTCATCTCTATTGAGTTAGTGTTAAAGGTGCACAAGTGTCTAGAAACATATTTGTAAGACCCTGGTGAATGTATTTCATATAATGCTTCCTTCTGTTCATTGTTTGTTTTTTAAAGTTGTTTTTTTCATGAATTCCAAGGAAGCTGACCTCAAAAAAATTTTAAGTTTCTGCAGTGAAAGGATTATTACAGTATTTTCAAAGGTTTTTTAAATAATGCAGACACAAACAATAAATTGCACAATTTATTGCCTGGCATATTTGGCTTCAGCAGTTCCATGGCAGCTGCATCACCCCTCACACAACTACTGTAAAGTGACTGGATGTTTTGAGTTTTGTGCATCATTATATGTTGATGTATCTTATCAATTCACCTGATGAAACAAAGCAGAACAGGCCTGGGAATTAGTTGAGAAAGAGAGAGAGAGAGAGAGAGAGAGAGAGAGAGAGAGAGAGAGAGAGAGAGAGAGAGAGAGAGAGAGAGAGAGAGAGAGAGAGAGAGAGAGAGAGAGAGAGAGAGAGAGAGAGAGAGAGAGAAAGAGAGACAGGGGGTATGGAAAGAAAAACAAAAAATGAACATGGTGTGTCAGAAGAAGAAACAGTGATTGACAGAAGATTAGGAAGATGAGAAAAATAAAAAGGGAGAAGTAAGAGAAAAATTAGAGGAAGGGATGTACAGATGTGGAAAAAGGGAGAGACCAAGAGAAGGAAGATAAAAAGGTCAGGGAACAAGAAAAGGGTGAAACAGAGACAGAAGATGGAGAAGGTGTGGAGAGAAAGATGGAGGAACAGAAACGTGGAGACAAAGGGTCAGAGGATGGAGAGAAAAGGAGGAATGGACAGCAGAATCAAAGAGGGTGAGACTGAAGAAACAGAAACAGTCACAGTTGATAGAGACTATAAGGAGAGAGAAAATAACACAGCAATCTGAGAAAAGATGGACACAGACAGGCAGACACCGCTCAGGAGTTGAAAAGTGAGACAAGGAAATAAATGTTTAAAAACCACCAACCTCAGCAACTATGACTTCTTGTAGGGCCGGCCAGTTATCATCTGCCAAAGCTGGGCCGGTGGCACTCTGTTAAAAGCAATAAAATAACAAGAACTATAGACATGTTCTTGTTTGTTTTTGTAAATGTATCCAGTAATTCATCCTTATGAAGAACTTTGAACTCTTTTATTCTCGTGTTAACTATACAGTCACAACAACAATCCCAGGCATAGACAGAAAGATTGAAGAAGGTGAACTAGTACTGCATGCAAAGACATTTGTACATGTCGACAACTCTTATCCAAAACCCAAAAGGACAGACGTACACACCGAGGGATCACTAGAGGGAGCAGAAAAAAACAGAGAAGTTGGATCAGTCATCATGTTGCAAAATGTTACCACAGTAGAAACGTCATGCACCTCCGGAAGACTCTCAACAAACTTCAAAGCAGGGCAGCAAGCAATTATTGATCCAGCTTAAGTGCTTGAGGAAAGAAAAATGTAAAACAGCAAAAAAAACTGCCATTTGTGACTACATGTCATTCTTCCAGATGACTCAGAGGGATCCATTAGACAACATGGAGACAGAACCGACCTGCCAGATAAACAGACTCTCAGAAACATGGAGACAGAACTGACATGCCAGATAAAAAGACTCAGAAAGCAATAATTCTCCAGTGGATCCCGGCTCACTGCAGCATATCAGGAAATGAGTTAGCAGAGAGTTTTGCAAAGTAGAAACAACAAACCTATTCATTTTCATTATCATAAATCAAAACACATTTCACGGGAAAATAGAAGGAATTGTGGAGAGATCAAACTAACAGTAAACATCCACAAGACCCCATCAGCAGACAATAAAAAGCAACATAAAACAATTGTCCGTCTACAAACAGGACACTGCAGGCTCAACTACCACATGCATAAAATCAAGATTGTACAGTCCCCACAGTATGCCTGTCCAACAGGACCACAAACACCTAAGCCACTCTACCTCCAACTTTGAAAGGACACCTGGCCTCAAGAGCAAAGTTTGCAGAGCAAGCTATAGGGAACCATGAAGGACCTGCTGCTGTGAGGCGAGTTCATAGAGGCAACCCACCTGATGGTCAGATCTAAGCATACAAAACCAAAAGCAAAGAAGAAGAAGAAGATAAGACCTGAGATTTTACTGAAATTGGAGGTGTTAAGATTGAAAGGCAGAGAGATTCGACAGATGAAAACCACAAGCCAACAACTAACCTATTAAGGGTGAACATGGAAGCAGCAGAAATGTTTTTAAATAGTGTTACAAACGGAAATAATTTTAGGTTTTCAATTTTTTAAGTTATCAGGTTTGTTTAACAGACTGGTCATTTTTATCCTCAGATAGAGGAGTGACTGAATTGTGCTGGATATTATCCCATATGGATAGGCCTCTCTCTGGAAAATGGGTAACTGCTAAGCACAATGCAGTTTCAGCAAAGTTTTCCAAGAATCAATTGGGAAGGAAAAAAGAGTGTGGGGATGCACTTGTGAACTAAAGGCTATGAAAACAAACTTGTCTCTCACTATCCAGCACAGGTCCTGTGAGGAGTATACTCCTACCAGAAAAGCAACCTGGCCAGTTCAAACTTCGGTCAAGACAAAGTTGTATAGTACATGGGGAGATTTGGACTACACAAAAGCTTTCATCAAGGTTACCAGCTTCCTGATATAAGTTTTCTAATAGAAGGATCAAAGAAGATATAGCCCAGCTGTAAACCACAACACAACATGCCAACAACAATTGTAAGAGCTAACCCACAAATAGCACAAGTGGACTTTGATCATGACTGGTTGGATTTTGCAGATAAACATCTTTACATACTCTTCCTCTTCTTCTTATAGTCCATGCTTCTTCTTATAGTCCATGCTGTGTAGCGTCAGTAGTCATGTCTATTCACAACCTTCTGTCTCACACACTTTCAATCAATTCTAACACAGATAATCTTCAATGCCATAATATCAAACTATCCATCATCTCATCTCCCCCCCCCCCCCCCTTTTTTTTTACCCAACTGTCCCACCATCACCAGTGCACTCATACACCACCTGACACTGTTATTAAGACATCCAAACATGACTCTGAGCACCATCACCAGTACACTCATACACCACCTGACACTGTTATTAAGACATCCAAACATGACTCTGAGCACCATCGCCAGTGCACTCATACACCACCTGACACTGTTATTAAGATATCCAAACATGACTCTGAGCACCATCACCAGTACACTCATACACCACCTGACACTGTTATTAAGATATCCAAACATGACTCTGAGCACCATCACCAGTACACTCATACACCAACTGACACTGTTATTAAGACATCCAAACATGACTCTGAGCACCATCACCAGTACACTCATACACCAACTGACACTGTTATTAAGACATCCAAACATGACTCTGAGCACCATCACCAGTACACTCATACACCAACTGACACTGTTATTAAGATATCCAAACATGCGTTTGAGCACCATCACCAGTGCACTTATACACCAACTGACACTGTTATTAAGACATCAAAACACAAGTTTGATCGCCAAGATTATAAACAGCATATACATACCAACACTGTGCTACCAGTGCCAGACTCTGACGTTATCAAAGGCTAACTTATGTAAAATTACCACCCGCGAAATTAGATGCCTGAGAAAAGCTGCCAACTTAACCATCCTAAACAAAGTTGGAATGATATTATCACACAGACTGTAGAAACAGAAACAACAATATGCAGTAAATTCACTGAGAAACAGAAGATCAAATGGTATGGTTAGTTAGTTAAAATGCAGCCAGAACAACAACTAATGCAGGAGCTTCACATGAAAAGATCTAAAGTGAAAGCAAAAGGCTGCCCTAGGAGAATAAAGACTGATGACATTAAAGAGTTTCTTCATTGACATGGAATGACAATAGCCATCAAGCGATGGATCGCAAACTGTTCCTCCCCACAATGCTTAACAGCAAAAGTGGAAATTCATGATCCATGTACTCCAGTTTTCCACTTCTCATGACATATTAGTATAGGCAAACTGACACCTATGCTCAGTGCAAAATGTATGATAAACCGAGTATTGATATTTTTTAGTTCTCATTTGTACCCTGGTATACCAAAAAGAACCTTTTATGCCATTACAGTTTCTTAAATCAGTAATAAAATTTTCTCCTTTACTGTGTGCAAGCATGTGGGTTGGTGGGGGGGAGAGGGCAATAGAGACAGAGAGCAGGGGGAGGGAGGGGGGGGGTCATATTTTACTACCTCTCTCACATGTCCTTTCTTGGCAGAACCATTTAATTCAAAACTCACACATCCATACACGTTATTTTATCTAATGATCTTTAGAATATCTTCATTATCAAATACCAGTCTTGGTTTAGCCATAGCCAAAAATATTGGTTAGGAAGACAAAAAGAGAGGGTCGTGTAAACAACAGGCGATCTGTTATTTTTATCTGTATGTTTGTTTACCTTGGTTGGCTTGACTTCACTTGAGACATTTTCTGGGGGCTTGGCATCCTTTTCTGAGTCTGTAAGGATAAGAAATGAAAACCCAACTATGAAACAATCTGAAATCGAACTTCCTCTCTTTTAACAAAACAATCATTCAATAAATGTAGGGGGATATCAACAATTTTTGAATCAGACCAAACATGTTTGTCAGCCATTTGTTATTTGAACCAAATTGTTTCCATTTTCTTTACTTCTTCAGTTTAAAGACATTTACTTATATTCACTATGTCTTAGTTCTCATTTTAAATATTAAATTTTATTTCTGATTCTTGTGTTCTGAGGATAAAGACTGTACATCTGGCTGTCTCTGAAGAAATACCACTAAAATAAATTGCTGACCTGTGATCGATCACAGGTAACTTTGCCAAAAATGTCTCCCTTTCAAGGAATATGTGTTGACTGCCTAAAACAGTTACAAGTTGAAAGGATCATCTTCACTGCATTAGATTTTATACCATAAGGTTCAGTTGTCTCTCCACAGAATGACTAGCTGCCTGCCAAGAGCACTACAAAAGGCATAAACACAGCTCCAGCAATGATCCCCAGGGATCTCCGTAAAAACTGCACTCACAAACAGAATAAAGCAGCACTTGAATAAACCCCCGACCTTCAAAGCACAAGGCAAATGGCACAACCACTTCCCTGCGGAGACCCCCTAAGAGAGACGGAGTTAAGTAAAGCATAATCAGTTTCCCACTATTTGAGCCGTACAAACCTGAGTCACTGAAATCCATGACCACTGCAAACCACAGCAGGAGATAATGAAGTGTTGAAAGTCGACTAAAGTTAACTTATCAGACTTGAGACAATGTTCCACTGATACCTTAGACAAGTGTACTAACCACTACTATAATATAGCCTTGAGATAGAAGGAAGCCCCATAGTGTTTATTACAAAAGCATTAGCACAGTGAATACTAGAGAGCAGTGCAAATACTTATCTTTTTTAAGAACCCTTTTTCACGCCTCCGGGTGTACTGGGTATATAGGGCTATACCTATATTTTAGACCAAACGGCACTTGGTGGGTGATGTGGTCAGCATCACGCCGGCCACCTTTACTTCCTAAGACTTACCTGGTACCCACTCAAGTCTCGGACAACCATGGAAGCCAAGATCATTTTTTTTAAAAGTCCAGCCTCTGTTGGGACCCAAACCCACAACCTCCCGATCTGCAGACAAGCATCTAGCCGCTAGACCATGGCGGCTCCCACTTATTTTATCTACAAAACCATGCAAAAGCTTGAATCTAAAGAACAGTACTAATGCATGTTACCTTTGAAACACTGCCAAGGCTTTCATCTAAAAAACATTGCAGAGTCATGTATTTAGACAATAGTGTCTACAAAACAGTACCGAGTGTCTACAAAACAGTAACGAGTGTCAAATCTACAAAACAGTAACGAGTGTCAAATCTACAAAACAGTACCGAGTGTCAAATCTACAAAACAGTACCGAGTGTCAAATCTACAAAACAGTACCGAGTGTCAAATCTACAAAACAGTACCGAGTGTCAAATCTACAAAACAGTACCGAGTGTCAAATCTACAAAACAGTACAGAGTGTCAAATCAACAAAACAGTACCAAGTGTCAAATCAACAAAACAGTGACGAGTGTCAAATCAACAAAACAGTACCGAGTGTCAAATCAACAAAACAGTACCAAGTGTCAAATCAACAAAACAGTACCGAGTGTCAAATCTACAAAACAGTACCGAGTGTCAAATCAACAAAACAGTGCCGAGTGTCAAATCAACAAAACAGTACCGAGTGTCAAATTAAAAAAACAGTACCAAGTGTCAAATCAACAAAACAGTGCAGTCATGTATTCAGACAATAGTGTTTACAAAACAGTACTGAGTGTCAAATCAACAAAACAGTGCCGAGTGTCAAATCAACAAAACAGTGCAGTCATGTATTCAGACAACAGTGTCCACAAAACAGTACCGAGTGTCAAATCAACAAAACAGTGCAGAGTGTCAAATCAACAAAACAGTACCGAGTGTCAAATCAACAAAACAGTGCCGAGTGTCAAATCAACAAAACATGGCCGAGGTCTGTATCTACAGAATAGTGTAAACTCTAGTATCTACACAATAGTATAGACTCTGGTATATTCAGTGTAGTACAAATGATAGTATGCCCATATACAAACACTAGTATCTACATAACAGTATAAGCACTAGTATCTACAGAACAGCACAAACTCTAGTATCTACAGAACAGAAATACTCTAGTTATCTACAGAACAGCACAAACGTTAGTATCTACAGAACAGCACAAACTCTAGTATCCACAGAACAGCACAAACACTAGTACCTACAGAACAGCACAAACACTAGTCCCTACAGAACAGTACAAACATTGTCCCTACAGAACAGCACAAACACTAGTACCTACAGAACAGTACAAACATTGTCCCTACAGAACAGCACAAACACTAGTACCTACAGAACAGTACAAACACTAGTACCTACAGAACAGTACAAACACTAGTACCTACAGAACAGTACAAACACTAGTACCTACAGAACAGTACAAACACTAGTACCTACAGAACAGTACAAACACTAGTACCTACAGAACAGTACAAACTCTAGTACCTGCAGAATAGTACAAACACTAGTACCTACAGAACAGTACAAACACTAGTACCTACAGAATAGTACAAACACTAGTACCTACAGAACAGTACAAACACTAGTACCTACAGAACAGTACAAACACTAGTACCTACAGAACAGTATAAACACTAGTACCTACAAAACATTACAAACTCGTAGTTATCTACAGAACATTACACACTCTAGTTATCTACAGAACAGTACAAACACTAGTACCTGCAGAACACTACACACTCTAGTTATCAACAGAACAGTACAAACTTTAGTACATACAGAAAAGAACAAATGCTAACAACCACAGAGCAAATATGCTAATATCTATAGAAAAGTATTTACTCCCCCAATAAAAATACTTGCATCCAGAGAACAGTGTAGATACTAATATGTAAAGAACTGTAAGGCTTTTTTTTTTTTTAAAAGAGCACACACTATCATCTACACATCAGTACAAATACTGGCCCCTACAGAACAGTTTTTAAAAAAATCTAGTATCTATAGAATAATATGAACAAAGCTGTTCATAGTCCCAGTGATACTGAACTCAATAGGTTTTGCTTTAATGATTCATTACACAGAAATCAATAATAAGATCATTCTCCTTAATCTCATCAATACAATACAATAACAAACTGTCACACAGATCTGAATGATGCATTTCAAACTAAACCACAGGGGGGAGGGGGAGGCAATTGTCAAAAGAGATAATATTCATGTGGGTTTTCTCCTCAATGTTAATGCTAAGTACAACTATGAAGCTTTTACACTTACTTTACTTTCTTACAGCGGCTAAATGTAATGTCTTTTGTTCTGTACATAAACGGATGTTACAACAAAAAGCCCACCATTTACACATGAGCTGTACTTTTCAATCCATTTGAACGCACGGGCTATCAAAAAACTAATTGCCCTGTGTGGGTTCCAGGGCCCTGTCGGTGTAAGGGGTGGGGTGAGGAAAGAGAAAAAAGAAAGGGGTGGGGTGTAGATCCACTGCCTTCTAAAAAAGCGTGTCCTACAAAGTGAATAATTTAGAGGTGCTTCCTCTGAAGTCAAAGTGCATCTACCTGAGCTGCAAAGAACCAACGGTCTACATATAAAGAAGCCAGATCTGTAAAACGTAGTGCACGCAAAACTCAAGTTCTGCAATGTGATCAAAGTCCAGAAGTGGATAAACAACCATGACTGTCTGCTGGAGTTTACAGCCAGTGACTGCTATGAGCAAGAGAAAAAATAAACAATGACTAATTACATCTGGCAAGGATACACGGCTTCATCATGGATAGCTACTGAGCTCAGACCAAATGCAAATTGAGAGACAAATGGGACTGGTTAGATAGCTCGGCAAATGAAACTGTATGCATAATCAAATGGTCCCCTAAATTCTTTACCAGCGAACAAAAACAAGGATATTAACTCTTTCAGTGCCAAGGCGATTTTAAATCAGCAGTGTTTATATGACAGCTTTATATTTTTTGGGTGTGTTTTAACACAAAAATTGTTTTTGTCTCACAGAATTGAAAAATACAACTCTGGGACAGAAGTCATCATAATAGCAACTGAAATGCAAGAAATTTTTATAAAAGAATAATGAGACATGAGAAGCACTAAAATTTGTGATGGATAAAGAGTAGCAGAGGAAGGTATAGTCAGCTGCCTGGCATGGAAAGAGTTAACCAACCACCCACCACATTGGATTCATGGGTAGTAAAGGCAGCATGTGTGAGGTTGACCAATCCCCCCCCAAGAGTCTAGCCTGACTCGTCACTGGCATAAAAGGGACCATTACTATACTTTTACCAAAATTGACTACAATATCAGTTTTATCCAGCTGAAAAGGATGTCTCAGACTGAACCTGTTCGGCTCCTACCCAGATGCAATCCTGGAGTGGAAATATAAGTTAGTTGTGTATCCTTCACAGGTCGTTGCAGAACCAATGCCATGAATAAGGCAGTAAACAATACTGTAACGTAAGAACAAACCGGGAGAACAAACTTTTATTTTATTTTTTTTTAAAGAAAGAAAAAGTAGAAGCTACACATTTAAAAAAAAAAGGTATTCTTTTTCTTTCTTCTTTGTGTTCACCAGCTGTAAACTCCGACAGAAAGTTCTGTTTCTTCATCCACTTCTGGACTATACTCCTGTTCCAAAAGTTGAGTGTTGCATGCGCATCTATTTTACAGATCTGACTTTGTATGCAGACTGTTGGACTTTCATTATATGATTATAAAAGTTCAACCTGCTAGATTTTTATTATATACTTATAAAATTCAACTGGCTAGATTTTCATTATATGGTTACTGAAGTTCAACCTGCTAGATTTTCATTATATGGTTACAGAAGTTCAACCTGCTAGATTTTCATTATATAGTTATAAAATTCAACTGGCTAGATTTTCAT